CACGATTCGAGAAGGACGTGAAGCGGACCGACACCGGGTTCCTGGCGATAGCAACAGAAGTGGAGAATGACGGAGAGAAAGCCTCGGAAACTCCAGAAAAAATCAAGGAATTACTGAAGGAGTTCCAAGACATTCTTCCTGACGATCTTCCGAACGAGCTACCGCCATACCGAACGCATCAACACGAGATCGTGGAGGAACCGGGTTCGAAGCCAACCTTCCGAGCACCATATCGGCTCAGCCCTACGGAGCTGACCGACATGAAAAAACAGATCGAGTATCTCCTAGCCAAAGGACTCATCCGGCCATCCACTTCGCCGTACGGTGCCCCAGTACTCTTCACCCCGAAACCGGACGGAAGCCTGCGCATGTGCATCGACTACCGAGCTCTTAACAAGCAGACCATCAAGAATAAATATCCGATACCGTGAATCGATGACCTGCTTGACCAGCTTCGGGGAGCTACGGTATTTTCCAAACTGGATCTGCGGTCCGGATACTGGCAGATACGGATGGCGGACAACTCTATCCACAAAACTGCTTTCCGAACTCGGTACGGATCGTACGAGTATTTGGTCATGCCATTCGGACTCACCAACGCGCCGGCAACGTTCCAAGCCGAAATGAACCACATTCTACGACCACTTCTGGACGAATGCGTGGTGGTGTACCTGGACGACATACTCATCTACTCGCGCGACATGAAGCAGCACGTCGAACACCTGCGACGCGTCTTCGAAATTCTTCGACGGGAACGATTCTACGTCAAACTGTCCAAGAGCGAATTCGCCCTTGAAAAGGTCCAATTCCTAGGACACATGGTGAGCGCTCAAGGAGTTCACGTCGACCCCAAGAAAGTCGAAGCCGTACGTACGTGGAAGACACCCGAGAACGTGAAGGAGTTGCAGCAGTTCCTAGGCTTCGCTAATTACTACAACAGGTTCGTGCCACAGTATGCGAAACTCGCGGCACCACTCACGAATCTGCTGAAGAAGAACACGCCCTACAAATGGGAGACGAAGCACCAGGAAGCCGTGGAGCAACTGAAACAAGCAGTGACATCCGCACCGGTACTCATCTTGCCAGATCCCGAACGTGACTACGTCATTGAAGCAGACGCCAGTGATCAGGCCGTGGGTGCAGTCTTGATGCAAGACCAAGGGAATGGACTGCAACCAATTGCCTACCTCAGTAAGAAACTGCACGGGGCAGAACTCAACTACCCGATACATGACAAAGAGGCTCTTGCTATCATCATCGCCTTCAAAGCGTGGAGATGCTATCTCGAAGGACGAAGAACAACCGTCTACACCGACCACTGCAGCCTGAAATACTTGAAGACACAACCCAACCTTTCCAGGCGGCAGGTCCGGTGGATCGACTTCCTCGAGACACACTTCCACTACGACATCGTGTACAAGCCCGGCCACAAGAACAAAGCAGACGCTCTCAGCCGGCCTGCACACGTTGCCGCGATTCAGGTCGAAGGGATGAATCCACTACTCAAGGGACTCTTCACACACGGGTACGCCATCGACCCCGAAATTTCCTTGGCAGAAAAGCGACATCTGCTACAGTGGGACAGTGACATCGCGTACCGGAAAGGATCAACGAAAATCTGGGTACCCAATTACCCTCCTTTGCGCCAGTTACTACTCGAAGAATACCACGACGTCCTCTACGCCGGACACTTCGGTAGCAACAAGACGCTGACCGGTATCGCAAAGCACTACTACTGGCCCCACTTAGCAGAAGACGTCCAGAAATTCGTCACCTCGTGTGATACATGTCAGCGGATGAAGAGCAGCAAGCAGAAAAAGGCGGGACTACTGCAGCCTCTTCCTGTCCCAGAACAGCCATGGCAAGTGGTCAGCCTCGACTTCATCACCGGGTTACCACCTACCTCCAGCAGTCATGACGCCATCCTTGTCGTCATTGACAAGTTCTCCAAAATGGGACACTTCATCCCGACACACACGACGGCACGCACCGAGGAGACAGCACAGCTCTTCGTTCGTCACATCATCTCACAGCATGGCATCCCAACCACACTCATTTCCGACCGAGACCCCAAGTTCACCAGCAAGTTCTGGAAGGAACTTATGTCTCTTCTCGGGACCAAACTCGCCATGTCATCCGCATACCATCCGCAGACAGACGGACAGACCGAGCGCCTCAACCAAATTGTTGAGCAACTCCTCCGAGCAGCCTGCAAGGACGACATCTCCAAATGGGACTTGCACCTGCCCGTTCTCGAGTTTGCTTACAACAACGCCACACATGCCGCTACTGGACAGACGCCGTTCTTCCTCTGCTACGGACGCCACCCACTCACACCACAAAAACCGACAGCATCAGCTACAGTCCAACCAGCACATGATTTCATTACAACCATGCATCAACTTTGGGATCGGACCCACAAGCGCCTCCTTGACATTCAACAGCAACAAAAGCGCCAGGCCGATCGCCATCGCAACGACCACACCATCACGGTGGGAGACCAGGTGCTTCTTGACACCCGCAACCTGGACATCAGCCACCTCCCATCTAAACTTCGACCTCGCTTCTGCGGGCCTTTTCTCGTTGAAGCACAAGTCACTCCTGTTACCTTCCGCTTGCGCCTGCCAGCTACCTGGAAGATTCACAATGCCTTCCACGTCCAACTTCTGAAGCCCTATCGGGACCCGAACACAATTTTCGTCGGACGCCAACCGCCGCCGCCACCGCCCGTCCTCGTCCAGAATGAACCCGAGTACGAGGTCGAGTCCGTGCTCGCACACCGCCGTCGTCGGAATGGCACCGTGGAGCTTCTCATCCGTTGGAAGGGTTATGATCCTTCTGAGGACAGCTGGGTACCTGAGTCCGACATGGGTAACGCCCGTCGTCCTCTGCATGACTACCTTGTCAAGCAGGGTGTTATTTCTACCACCCAGCTTTGAGGGGGGGAAGTGTGAGAGTACGACCCCGTTACACCACTTGGCCTTTTCTTATTTCCTTCCCTTTTCATTTCTCTTTTTACCGCATCTCATTTGGTTTCCTATTCTTCCTTTTCCATTAACCTTTGGTTTATCCTGCTATTATCATTATATCACCGACCAGGCTTGGGATGTATTGGTGCGCTCTATCTAGCGTAATCCTGCCGTAATCCCTTAAAGCCAATAGCCTCGCGTGGCTATACGCAGGGTGATTCTATCTTCTAGAAGGGTCTATTCCCTTAGGATAAGATAAACCTGGTTACCTGATGTACTCTGGAAGTATAAAAGCGCCTTGTACTGATCGATAGTGCAACCTTTCCTCGACACATTCGATCCTGTGACAGGTAGGCGCTTGATTGTGTCGCCCGAACGATGAATTGTCGAGGCTCATCGGCGCTAATCCCATGTTTCCTCCGTTGCTCTGTGTTGAATGCGCAGGTGTCCTTGTCTGCTGCTGCTGCTCGAAGTGCGACATGAAGCTGAAGAACCTTTCCATAAGATTCGGATCCACGCTTGAAGAGGGTGATGGGGTCACCATTTCCGGTGTTCTTCCTGTTGTTTCTTGAGCAGCGCCGGTCTCGGTTTGCAGTCCTGAAGTATGCAATCCAGAGTTGCCGGGTTGAATGTCTTGGGTGCTGGGTGAGCCCGTAGAGATTTTCTTGCCCTTGCTGTCCATGGCTTGTAATCAATGAAGTCGTTGAATTGCAGATTGTAGATAGAGCGTAGTTGCTGGGAGTTTGGTCTCTGACCAGCTCTCATACCATGTTGGGCTGATAAATGCCCTTAGGATCTTTCAGAGACTAAGTCCCAGTTGAAGAATAAGACTTGAGTAGTGCAGCGGAAGTTGAGGTAGTTGAACCCTTGTACTAGTATATGAGAACAAGTGATTGATTAAAGAGACAAGCATACAGCAATATATAGAAAATAGGAAAGTAAAGCAGTTGTAGAATACAGTTGCAGGAGCGGTTATCGAGTCGCACAGCGACTCGATTGTCGCTTCGGTTACCATCCGCGCTGTTGTAACGGTCGGTCGCAACCTCCAGTTGCGACTCTTCAAGTCCCTTCGCGTTCTTTGCCCATCCCCTCGTGTAACCTCCGTTGACTCGCGTACCCGTTGCGATCTTCCTCGAGTGTAGTGTTACACTTCAGAAACGCTTAAGTCCTTTGAGATATTTCCAACACTTGTTAAGTGTCGACCAGAATTTTCTGAAGAACAAGTTGATAATTAAAGTTGTACAAGCTACTTTTATATCTGCTAGAAGTACCTATTCGGTGATGTACCTGTTCGAGCTATTTGCGCTATGCGCTCTAACCGCTACCGAAAAGAGCGCGACTGTTCGTGTGACTGAAACGGCTTGCTGACGTAATCATCCAGACGAGCGCTATTTGCTGACGTCATTCTACGGATGCTAACTACAGTGTAACTCGACAATATCTATCGGAACTACTTAAAGAAATGCTTAAGTACGATTTTACCACAACGGGGTAAATTTTTTTATGAATTTGGATGTGCATTACGAATCTATGATTCTCTTTTATCCTTCTATATGGGGGAATTGTTGAGAAAGCATAAAAGGAATGCCTCATCATAGAGGACACCTTGTACAAGCTGCTATGGTCAACTGTGCATGTGAAATAGTGAAATTCTTCAGGGGGAGGCACCGCTTGCTTGAAGGGTATTGGCGGGATACCAGAAAGCGCGGTTCGCGAACGGTGCTCTGACGATTGGTGAGCGATGTGGAGCCCTCTGGCGACACAGCCCTCGTGGTTTCCCGCACTTTCTACCGCAAGATCACAGCTGCTCAAGCTCAATCGACGATCACAATGTCACCGATCCCTTCATTCTGACCGAGATAGGCGAAGCGGGGCGAGAAGGGACCACCTGAGCATTGTTCAGGCGCTTTGGGGGCACTGGCGTCTGCTTCGCCTCGCCATGCGATGCTCCTTGGGATTCGGGAACATCAGCTCATGGCATAAGCGTGGTCATGGCATCAGCTCCTGGCTCATGGACAGACCATCAGATGCAAGCATAGAAGCAGATTTTCAGTTCTATAGCTGTTTCTGGGGGGTGCTGGTCAAGGTCTCTCTCCTTTGGTCTTGCCTTCACCGTTTCAGGACATACACCTGTCCTGGATTGCCCATGTCTATTCAACGAGTCGTTGCTCGGTCGTTAGTTAGCCTATACGAATGGGTCGAATTGCCTGCATTAGGCCGACACTGTTAGTGACGAATGTCGGCGATTCAGATTAGACTGCAGCGAGTCAGCGATTAGTTCCGCTGACGACTAAATGTGCTGGGGCCCGTTATCTCGAATGTGATCGCATACTTTTAGCCAAAAAGCGCGATCCGTTCATTCAGATTATCCAGAGCAATCGGATCTACATTCCAGAAACCTTTTATGCGGCCATGGATCCAGCATCGGCGACGCGGTTTCAGGATAACCTAGAGGACAAGTCTCGCGTGGAGATCAAGCGCCTGTGTCGCCAACTCGGCGTCAGCAGCCGAGCAGCGACGGTGGGTCGTCAATTCGTTGGCCTAGCAACGGCTGCTGCTCGCTTTGAGCGCGTCATGTGAAGATCAGGCGCAGGGCAATCAAGTCATTGACCTCTTGTCATTGCCGTCTTCCAATCCTCGCTATGATTCCGCCACCCTTAGCTCGTTATCAGGAATTCTCCATCTCCGTTCTCTTCGTTCTAAATCCTCCACTCCTCTTCTCTTCGTCCTTCTCTTCTCCGTGCTTTTCCTCTTTCCCGTGCATCGTACGGCCTTGTGCAGACATCTATGCTGGTCGCTAGAATCAGGACTCGCCTCCACGCCTCACCAGCATCGGGTCCTCCAGGCAGGTCGGTCCATTTTCCCATCCCGTCCGTTCCCCCATCAGCAATGGTTGCTAGATTCACCGGTCAACGCACTTCCCTCGTTCCTTCCCTCGCCATTGCGATTCCTCCTTCTTCTGTCCAGCGTCCACCAACTCTATCTCTTGTTTGACCCACCTCCCCGTGCAGCGGAAAACCTTCCCCTTCCGACAATGGCGTCGTTTGCGAGAACGGTCGTCAGGACGAGCCCCGCAGCGAGATTCGGAGCCAGAGAAAGGATCCGAACCAAGCGCAGGAGAAATCACGCGCTTCTCGACTCTTCGGAGGGCTGATTCGCCGCAGCAGCCCCGCGAGACGACACGAGAACTCGCAGAAGCCACAGGAACAGCCGCAGCAGCAGCAGCAACAGCGACATCAGGAGTTGCAAAATGAGCACACGAGGGATGGAGGCGGAGCAGCGGCGGCAGGACCGCCTCTGCATGTCAGCGGCAGGAGGACGACCACCCACCCCGCACAACCAGCCGTACCGTATGTTCGTACGATGGATCCGTCCGTTAAAGAGGCAGTCGCGCGTGCTTATAGCGAGGTTGCTGGTACGTACGCCAGCTCGATGCATTTTGGGGGCAGTGGGGGAAGCGAGGGGTCAGAGGAGGTGGCTCAGGAGGTGAAGGGACACGTGGCGGAGAAGCGTGACGAACACGTGGTAGAGCAACGCAAGGGACGTGCGACAAAGGAAGGCGCAGGACACGTGGCAGCAGCTGACTTGACCGCGAGTGAGAGGGGCGCGCTGGGCGTGAGTGGGAGGAGCCGGGCGGTGAGGAAGCAGAGGGAGCGCGTGGGCCCGGAGGTGGAGGAGTCGAAGCGGCGGATTCTGGCGGCGTTCCTCCGAGACATGGACGGCGCCGAGAAACCCGCCGCGCACGCCGCCAGCCTCGTGCAGCTGAGCCGATCCGGAGAGATGAGGCAGCAGGAGGAAATGGGGTGGCCAGGCGAGGTGAAGAGTGGCGGCGTTTCAGCAGAAGGGAAGGAGACGCGGGACGTCGAAGCCGGTGATGGGATGGGGCAGGGAGAGAGTGCAGTGGTGGGTGGTGATGAGCATGACAGGGGCGACAGTGTCGGTGAGCGCTGTAGCGGGGACGAGGACGATGAGGAGGAGGTGGAAGAGCACGAGGGTGACGACGAGGAATGTGACAGTCAGAGTGAGAAGTATGGCGATGATGCGGACGAGGCGGACAAGAGCGACGCACCTGTGGATCTAGAGTCGCTCATGGCTATGAGCGCTCACTCGCAGCTCGTGGGCATGGGCGCTGGACGACCTGCGGATATGAGTCGCGAGTGCGGCGAATCTGCGACTGAAGCCGATGCTGCCGCGACCGAGGCTACCACTGCGGCCATCCGTGCAGAATCACATGCCGCGAAGGCGAATAGTGCCAAGGCAGAAGGGCCTCTGATAGGCACCAACGCTCCGCACGCTGCTCCCCCTACCGTTGCGTCGTCTGACTTCCCCCCCTCCGCCTCCTCCCCGTCCGGTAGGTCCTCCAGTAGCGACTCTCTCGGCCCCACCACGCCCGCCGACTCCATCACCATGATCGACTCGAGCACGTCCGGGGACGACACCAGCGACTCCCGCACCGGCGACTCCCCCACCAGCAATTCCGCTACTAGCGTCATCCCCGTTACAGGCAGCAACCCCCACGACCCCTCGGGGTTGGTGGACAGCGATTCTGCCGCTGCGGACGGCAGGGTGGTGCGGGGGAGAGTGGATGAGGAGGATGAAGGGAGAGTGGGGGAAGCGGAGGGCGGGCGGGAATGCTTAAGGGAAGAGAAGATGGATTGTGGGAAGCTGGATTTGAATGTGAGTGGTGCTGACGTGGCGGATCCTGGGATTGCTGCCAGTAACGAGGAGGCTGGCAGCGGGAGACGGAGCAGGAGGCGGTGGACGGATTCCGCTCCCTCGGGGGTTAATGGGCCTTCCGCATGGGCCAGGGGAGGGGGAGAGGAGTGGGCGGAGAGTGTCGCGGGGGAAGGACGGGGATGTGCGGAGAATGGGGAGGGGGAGGGAAGGGAAGGCGGGCAGGGGGGGGGCGTGGGCGGGGGAAGCTTGCGCATGAGATGGCTGGTGTTGGCGGAGGACAATGAGGAAGAGGAGGAATGGGGAGGCGATGGGGATGAGGAGGGCAATGGGGAAGAGACATTCGGCAAGGAAGCAGATGAGATCGATGAGAGGTTGGAGTTGGAGGAGGAGTTGGAAGGGGAGTTGGAACGGCTTCCATCCCTTCTTTTCCCCACCTCCGTGAGTGTCCCCTCCACGCATTCGCCCTCATTCCCCTCACTCCCGTCGTCCTCGCCCTGCCCTCCACACCACGCGCTCCACCAAGACGCGTCCCAACCGACACAGCAGCACGTCGCGCTGCTGGACTCTTCCCAGCCTGCCGCCCACCTGCAGCCACTGAACGCTGCCGCCCCATTCAGCCAGCCGAGGGACGAGCAGCAGCAGCAGCAGCAGCAGCAGCAGCAGCAGCAGGGGGGAATGGCAGTGATGGCGGGGTGGCCGCAGCAGCACGAGTATCTCCCTCTGCAGCCGCCCATGCAGCTGCCCGCCGTGCCCGCCCTGCCCAACAGCCTCTCCTCCATCAAGCGCCGCCTTTCCCCTCGCGTTCGGAAGCCCACTCGCTTCCTCACTGCCTCCCGCCCCCTCATTTCTCCGCCCTCCGTCAATGCTGCTGCTGCGGCTGCGGTTGCTGCCGCTGGCGCTGGTTCTGGGAGTGCTCCCGCTGCCTGTGGCCTTTCTGCTGGTGCTTCTAAGGATAATCCCCCTCCTCCATCTGTAGCTGCTGATTCTGCTGCTGCTGCTGCTGCTCCTGCTGCTGCCGGTGCAGGGAGTGGTGGTGGCGGGGCGGGTGTGTCGGATGGCAACACGGCCGGCAAGGATAAGGTCCGGAATGCTGACCCTGACGTGACACTAGGAGCCCAGCTAGAGCACAGCCCAGCTGACAGTGCGGCTGCAGCTGCCAGTGCTCAAAACAGCCCTCTGCAAGCGCCTTGGCAATCTCCCTCCCGTGCAGCTGCATCGGTGCCTGCGCCACCAGCATCCACATCCATATCCGAACCCCATCTTTCCTCCTCCTCTCCGTCTGTTACCGCCACCTCTCATTCAGCATCCGTCAGCCACTCAGTCTCGTGCGCGAGCCACACGACAGGGCCTGCCAGCCATGTGATCGACCTCGAGGAATGCTGCCTGTCAGCTGAATCTAGGCCGTCTGAGCAATCTAGGCCGTCTGAGCAATCTAGGCCGTCAGCTGAATCGAGCCCATCAGCCAGCTTTCGGTCGTCAGCTGAACCTAGGCCATCAGCTATATCCAGCCCGTCAGCCGAATCTAAGTTGTCCGCCAAATCTAGGCGGTCAGCAGAATCTAGGCCGTCGGAGGAGGTACTGGCACCAAGGGAGAGGGCGATAAGCGGTGGAGGCAGCAATCAGTCGGCTGCTTCTGATAGGGGCGAAGGCAAACGAGACTATACCGAGAACTGCAGTCGTGCAGTGGCTGCCGCGATGGCCAGTAGCAGTGATAATGCGGCGGAGGGAGAGGAGAGCGCAGGCGATGGAGGCAGAGAGAGGAATGGGGCAGCAGAGGGTGAGGGTGCTGGTAGTGACGCCGCTTGCCCGCTCGGCACTGCCAGTAGACAGTGGGTGAGAGGGCCCGCGAGTGGTGGCAGTGGAGGGGAGCGAGGGAGTGTGGATGTCCGGAGTGAGGGAGGGAGAGGAGGTGTAGGTGAGAGGGGGGGGAGAGAGGGTGAGGGCAGTGAGGGGGAGTTGAGCACTGGCTCTGGGATGGCGGGGGAGGACAGGGAGGAAAAATCGTTTGACTGGTCGTGGCTTGACGCAGAGATTGACAGCAATAAGAGGCGGGAGAACCAAGAGGATATGGCGGAGGATGCGGATGAGGCGGAGGATGCGGATGAGGCGGAGCGTGTGTTCATAGAAATGGTGGGAGGGGAGAGAGAGAGAGATGGAGAAGAAGGGCGGGAGGAGAAGCGAGCGGATACGGTGGAGAGCGGTGAGCAAGCAGGGGTGGCTATGGGGGAGGGGCAGCTGAGAGAAGGCAGAGCGGCAAGCGGTGAAACGGAGGGTCGGAGAGTGGAGGAGGAAGGGGAGGACGAGAGTGGAAGCGCTGAGAGTGGCCAGCGTAAGTATGGCGATACGAGCCTTGCTGTGCCGAGCACTGCCTCCTCTTCTCCTTCACTTTCTCTATATCCCCACAGCCTCCACTCTGCGCCAGCGGCCATCTCCTCCTTCTGCACTTCCCTCCTCTCCCCCCCGCGCCCTGCTTTCTCCGGCCTCCCTTATGCTGGCTGGGGAGGCAGAGAGGGCAGTGCAAGGGAAGGCGGCACGGAGGGAAAACTCATAGCAGCAGCAGCAGCAGCAGATGAGGCTACCTCTGACGCGCGCTGCTCAACGCCTGCTGCTGTCGCAGTGCCTGCTGTAGCACCAGGTGCCCTTGTGAATGTTTCCCTGCAGTGCTGGGAGGCCGTGCAAGTGGGCGACGCACAGGGTCTGTCCGCGTCTGCAGGCTCCGGAAAGGAGCAGGAAAGGCAGGAGGAGGTTGGGCAAGAGGCTTGCGGTAAGGAGACTGGCGGAGAGGCTGGCGGTTACCAGGTTGAAGGCGCGGCGGGGAATTTGGGGCTAGGAGGGGATGACGAGGAGCAACGAGGTGAGGAGGAGGAGAGAAAGGATGAGGAAACAGCCAATAGCGACAATGCACGTGGCGTGGAGAATGCAGTAGATGCGGAGGAGAAGGGAGGGGCACACAAGAGAGAGGACGAGGAGGGTGCGGCAGAGGAAATGGGAAGCAGTGGCACAGGCGAGGATGAGCCTGCGAGCTCGGACGAGGTGCTTGAGGAGTGCGTGGGCGTGGAGTGTGGAGGCGTGCAGGAGGCATGCTCTCACGAGGCAGTGAGCTTGAATGGCGCCAGTGCGGCACTGGCACTGCACGGCTCACCGGGGACACGCGAGAGGGGCGGAGAGGCAGTAGTGGAGGCAGCAGGCCACGTATGGCATGCTCTGGGGGTTGACCCGGCGTGGCAGGGGCATGAGGAGGGGCGCATGCCCCCTGCTGATGTTGCGGCCGATATTGGTGCTGGTATTGCTGGTTATGGTGGTGACGCTGACTGGAGCAAGAGCAAGAACCTACAGGGACAGGTCATTGGGGATATCAGCACCTGGGATGCTGCCTGTGGGGCTGTTGCCTTCAGTTGCAGCCACCCTAGCAGCAGCAGCAGGTTGATCCCTGTGGCATCAAGGCGGCATGTCATCCGACCGTTCACTACCAGCCCCTCTCTCAGCCTGCTTGACAACCCCCTCCTCACTGCTCCTGCTATCTCCACCTCCGCAGCCACTGCTGCTGCTGCTGCTGCTGTTGCGGCTGTCACTGCCGAAACTGCTAGTGCTGCCACTGCCCCTCACGGTGATGCAGCCATTGGCGCTACAGCCACTGCTGCTACAGCCACTGCCGCTGCCACTACCACTGCCACTGTGACAGCAACAACAGCCGCAGCAGCTGGAGAAGGCAGCCCCTTCCGCCACCCTGCTCGCCGCCTTGTTCCCTCTGCCTCCTCCCCCGCCCTCCTCCTCACCTCCCTCGTACCAAACCGCCCAGTCTCTCCCTCCTTTCCCGTCCGCCCTCCCTCCCCTGACCCCACTCGCCCCTCCTCCCCCCCCTCCTCCCTCCCCTCCTCCCACCCCTCCTCGCCCACTGCTCGCTCCGCCCATGCCAGTCGCCCCTCGTCCCCCACCATCCCCCTGCCTGACCGCCCATGGCTAAGAGGCGCCCTCCGCCGCACCCTGGAGCGCGCCCAGGCAGCAGAGATGGCGGCAGAGGCGCTGGCAGCGATGGACGCGGGGATGGGCGCACAGACGGGGGCAGGGATGGGAGGTGAGGTGCGTCTCGATGTGGAGAGGCAGCAGCAGCAGCAGCAGCAGCAGGAGGAGAAGCAGGAGGAGAAGCAGGAGGAGAAGCAGGAGGAGAAGCAGGAGGAAGAGGAGGAGGAGGCGACCTGTGCAGTGAGTGGGTGCAGCGGTGATGGTGACCCGAGCTCAGACGCTTTTGCTGAACATGAGTGCGACGGCGTGTCTGCCTGTGGTGGCGTGTCTGCTTGCGATGGCGTGCTCGCCCGTACGCAAGAAGCCAGCAAGGGCAGCAATGCTGCTTCTGCTTGTGCTAGCGCTGGTGCTGGCCCTGCTATCGCTGCTAGCGATATTGTTGCTGATCCCGCCGTTGCCACCCGAACAGCACCTGCTACAGTCACAGCAGAAGAATCTGCAATTGCAGTGGGTGCAGGAATCACAGGTGCTGCTGCTGAGTCTGTGGGTGCCCAAAAAACTGCAGTGGGTAATCCTGCAGGTGGTGTGGGCATGGCAGCGCACCAGTGGCAGGTGAGCAGTGCAATGGGCACAGCCATGGGCGGCAGGTCCAGTCACATGGATTGCAGGGGCAGCCATACTGTTACGAGGGCCTCCCATAGGGATGCACAGGCGCAGGTTCGGATGTCCTCTGTCCTGCAGCGCACTCATCCCACTCCCACAGGGGCGCCCACAGGAGCGCCCCACGTGCAGTCTGTGCAGCCCCATGCAGGTGCACGAGGGGCCCAGAACCCCTCGGTCTCTGGAGCTAGAGAGAGCAGCAACCCCTTTGCAGTGCCTGTCCCTGCCATGCCTCGTCTGCCCTTCAAGCTCTCCGCCAGAAAGCCTACTGCTGCCGCACCCACAGTACCGCTGGCTGGCACTCCTCCTCCAACGGCCGCCCCTGCTGCCCCTGCTGTTGCTCCCATGATGCAAGAGCAGCCCCAAGGTGGTGCTTCTGCTGCTCCTGGACCGCCTGGAGCCTCTGGTGCACCACGAGTGGCAGGAGTTGCCGCAGGAGGCCTGGCAGGGATGGCAGGTGGGGGGCTACAGAAAGAGGCAGCAGTGGAGGTGGAGGAGAGTTGCGGATCGTGCAGCATGGCTGTGAGCAACAGCGTGCGCAACAGCACCGGCATGAGGCCCACCAACAATGCGAGGAATTCTGGCAGCGCCGCACAGAGGAGCGCAGTCGCAGGGCAGAGAATGGCATTGAAGAGGCACGAAGGTAAGGGCGCGCCAGTGGGTAGGCAATCAGCGGCTGCATCTGCAGCTAAAGGCGGTGCTTCTCCTTCTGCCGCTGCCTCAGCAGCAGCAGCTGCTGGAGGCCTGAAGCGAGCCTCTGCTGTGGGGGCCAAAGGTTCTGGCGTGCCAGCAGCAGCAGGGGCAGCAGCAAGGGCAGCGCCAGGGGCAGCGGTGACGGGACGGTCGAATGGAGCAGAGTCCGGTGTAGGCGGGTCAGAGGCAGGGGAGGAGTGGAGCAGCTCTGGCAGCAGCAGAGGGAAGGAAGGCGGGGGAGGAAGAGGAGCGGGGCTGCGTCAACAGGCGTCAGTGCCAGCGTCTCACCAGTCGCAGCAGTCTCAGCAGTCCCCCATGGTGCAGCAGCAGCACTTCCTGCAGGAGATTGCGTTCGGCCCTGAGTGGGCCGCAAAGGCAAGGGCGAGGGATGAGGAGATGCAGCAGAGGAATGCAGCGGACAGGAGGGGGCAGCTGGAGGGGCGGTGGGGGGTGGTGTGCGAGGGGTGCATCAGCCATTCAGCAGGCCGCTGTTTGGGGAGAGGAACTCGAGTCCGGTGAAGAACATGATGCCGCTTGCTCAAGGTCATATCACGACACAGGCGCACATGCTGACTCAGACCCAGCAGCAGCAGCAGCAGCAGCAGCAGCAGCAGCAGCAGCAGCAGCAGCAGCAGGTGCAGGCAGGGCATGGAATGGTTCCAGCAGAGACAGTGCGGCCATTTGAGCGGAAGCTGTTTCAGCAGGCGACCATGGCAGGGCAGGTCAGCCCCACGGCACCACACTGCGTCCCTGCTGCTGCTCCTGCTGCTGCCTCCTCAGCTTCTGCTACTGGGAGCACACGCATTGCTCCTGCTGCTACCTCTAAATACTCTACTATGAATGCTGCAGCAGCCTACATGCAACAGCAAGCTTCCGATCCCTTCCTACACAATCCGCTCCCCTCACTCACCCACAGCAGCGCTGCCACTAGCACCTCCACCCCTCCTCTCTCCCCTCGCACACCTCGCTCTCTCGTCACTCCAGCCACTGCAACCAACCCTTATCTCCCCCCTCCCAGATCAAACCCCACCTCTCCCCGCCTCCCTGTCATGGGTACCGCATCTCTCTCTCCTCCCCCCTCGCCCCGCTCCTACCACGTGCTACAGTTCGCCATGGGGGGCACGCCCAATGCCAGCCCCACCCACCCCCTGGCAGCCTGCTACAACACTCCGCTCAGCCCCACAGTCGGCCCCTCTTCCCTTGCTCCACGCAGTCCGGCGCATCCCTCTGCAGCAGCTCCTGTTCCCCCCCTTGGCCCCACACGCACCACCGCACCCTCTCATGCTCCTGTGAGTCCGAGGCATGCTGCCGTGACCATTTCTCCACTCAACTCGCCTCACAAGCCACAGCCAGTCATGATGCATGCAGGTTTGCATCCTTCCGGTGTGCATGGCGGCATGAACCATGCAGGCATGCATGGTGGCATGAACGCTGGCAGCATGTGTGGTAGCATGCATCAGGCTGGGACTGGCAATCTCCAGCAGCCTGGCCTCCATGCACAGTATTACGTGCAGCCACTGCCACTTCACCAGCAGCAGCAGCAGCAGCAGCAGCAGCAGCAGAGCCCATATCGCAATCGCCCATGGCTGCAGCAGGAGAATCGCCAGCCGTTCATCGCCGGGCCCAACCCCAGTCCACCACGAGCAGCCTCCCCCCACGCCACCACTGCAGCCACGCCCTTCGTCTCAGGCCCCAACCGCAGCCCTGCAAGCCCCAGCCCAGCCAACTGCATGCCTGCCAACCGCAGCACTTCATGCACCCCTGCTGCACACCCTGCTCCAGGGACAGCGGCACCACCCGTCCCTGCTGCTGCAGGCCATATTGGTAGCCCAAACCGCTGCATCTCTCCCGTGCCCTTCAGCCCCTCGCCCTTCAGCCCCACTGGCAGCCCAGTGCGGGCTATCCACGCTGGAGCTGCGTCCCCCACCGCTGCCAGCCCTGCCAGCACCGGCACCCCTGACAAGGCCACCACGCCGTCGCGCTATGGCTCCCCGCTGCCCGCCCGAGGCCCGGTTGGTAGCATGTTTGTTGCAGGCCCCAGGAAAGGCAGTGCGGCGGCCATGGTTGCTCGGAGGAAGCTTGAGGCCAAAGCCGCTGCTGCGGCGGCGGCTGCTGCTGCTGCTGGTGACGGTGCCGGTGCACATGGGGGTGATGTGGTGGCAGGAGGGTCAGGAGCAGGGGGGGCAGCAGTGACAGGAGGAGTGGGAGTAGTGGCTGGGCAACGGACTGGAGGGCCAGCAGGGAGGGTGGGCGGTGGTACGGCGTTGGCAGCAGAGGCACAGGTTGGAGGAGTGCTGACATCATCATCAGTCATGAATACACGACAGGGAGTCATGGGGGGATCCACTGCACCTGCAGGTGTGCCTGCTCCTAGTGCAATGCCGCACGTGGTCCCTCATTCTGCCAGCAGCACTGCAGTGAAGGCACCACATGCCCTCGGCGTGGCACAACAGCTGCATTCCAGCCATGCACCTCCATCAGGTGGACCTGTAATTCCTCCTGTTAGTAGCTCCGCACGTAAATGGTTTGTAGGCAGCAGGTGATGGAAGAGTCATCAAGTTGACAAGAGAGCGAGGAGTGAGCATGTGTGGTGATCTGTCACAGAATGGACCTCAAGGCGTGAAAAGGGGGTCTCCAAACTTGTAGGCAGCGGTCACATTAAGGGAGATCGCGATTCTTATGAAACTATGAGCTCATTAAAGTTGTTGAGAACTATTCTTATGTTACATCGTATTTGTCGCAATTTTTGCACAGCCATGCTTTCTCAGCTCTGCTTTTGGAGCTTAGCGATGCATGGCTAACGAGAGGACGCCAGTCAATCGTTGAGCAAAGGACACGTGCCACTTGCCGGCTAGCACAGTGGAACGCCTAGGCGCACTTCGGTGGCCGAGCCTACCTATTCGGTTCGCTCACAAAATCAAGCCCCTGCCGCCATCAAGGCAGACGAAGGTCAGCGTCTGCCAAACCGAACCACTTCCACCTGAAATGAGAGTGGAGCAGGTTCAGCCGTGCCGAACCAGTTCAACGACCAGAGTTCCCCCCAGCCAGACGCCTAACCAATCAGGCCCACAAATCCCGCTACAGTACCAGCTGCTGCTGTTACAGGGAACTCTTCTTGTCAGTGACCGGGTGAGCGGTGGTATATGTCGGCGCTGGAGAAGAACGCGGCGACTGTGGCGAGACTGCGACAGGCTTCTCGTGTGACAGGCAAAAGCTGGTCTGCTTCGGTTGGCGGTCCTCGGATCGCTGGTGGTGGGACTCGGCTGGGTCCTGCTGCTGGTACTGCAGGTGATGGTTTGGTTGGGATACTTGCGGGTATTTGTCTTTCTTGTCTGATGACTGCTAATGCTCGTGTTCTTTCTGCTGCAGGTATGGTGTTGGAGTGCCAGAATCCGTCACTGTCGAAGTCGGGATCAAGATCCGGCGGGTGTGTCCATGCGGCAAACGATACGATGCCGTCGCTGTCGGCAGTGCCGCGGTCGGGGACGAAGTCCAACACGAAGACGCCGGACTTCAGGAGGGCACGGCCTATGAAGAGACCGCCCTTCCCGTGGTAAAGTCGAAACTCGTTGGAGTAAGAGTCGCACTCCAGGTGAATCCCCTTGGCCATTAGTTGGCTTACGCTTAGTAGGTTGTATCCCAGGTTGTCGACAATGAGGACTTTGTTGAGCTGAAGTATGACGTTCGTCTCCATGGATTGTAACTAAACCACGCCTTGTCTGTTTGTCTTCAGGTTTTCGTTGTTGGCGACGGTGATGATGACGTCGCGGTTGAGGCGTTTCTCCTGTTGCACGAAGCGTCCCGAAGAGCACATGTGTTGACCGCAGCAGCTGTCCAAGAACCAGGTGTTTCGCCCGGTGGGTTCGGCGTTGGCGACCGCAGCATATGTTGGATTGACTTGAAGTCCTTGTGAGCGCGGTGGTGGGAGCTCCTCTTCGTCTGGTGCGTAAGTGGGTGGTGATCCGGGTGTGCAGTTGTCGATGTGTACCATGCAGTTAATAATGTTTGGTGTCTGTTGTGCAGATGTTGAAGAGCGCCTTGGAGGACTTTCTTGAGTGGAAGCGACTTGTGGGTCTACTGGGCGATAAACGCGAGGGCGTGTGCGGTTGACCTTGGAGTGCCCGGAAGTCTGGCAGTTGTGGCAGAACGGTGGTACGAAAGTAAGTCCTCTGTTGTCGCGTTGATCTTGCTTGCCGCGTCGATTGTAGTTGTTGTCGTTCCTTCGTTGAGTGTAGAAGACTAACTGCTGCTGCTTCCTTGGTTGTCTTTCTTCGAACACGTCCATCTCCTGTTGTTCAGCGTGAAGCTCGGCGCAGAGGTGCATCTCCGAAATCCTTCCGTGGGCGCGAAGAAGCGATCGTGTGGTTCTCCATTCTGGCCCGAGCCCGGCGAGGACAAGCGTCACGAAGCTCTCTTCAGTGATTGTTCCTCCGCACCGAAGCAGGCGGTCGCGGAGGGTCTGGCAGCGACTCATATACTGCATCGCCTTTTCTCCGGTCTTCATCTGTATTGTTGTCAATTGTTGCATGAGTCTGCTTTGTGTCACGCTGTCGTTTGCTTGATAGAGGCACTTGAGGTGATGCCATGCGAGTTCTGCGGAGTTGCCATAGCTCCTGTATGTTCTGATGCTCTGCTGTTCTTGTGGTGACAGATTTCTCAGGAGAACTGTATACGCCAGCAGCGACTGATACGTGAAGATTTTTTGCTCCTTTCCAGTGCCGTTGCTTGGGAATGGCAGGGACCCGTTGAAGTATCCCAGGAGATGCGCAGCCTCCATCAGCAGCTCGAACTCGAAACTCCAGGTAAAGAAATCGTGTCCGTTGAATGGTGAGGATGTCTGCAGTTTAATCACGTGTGAGAATTGCGCTTGGAGGCTTAAAATCTCGTTTGGTGTCTGTTGTGATGCAGCTGCTGTTGGTTGGGCACGGGGCGGCATGAACTCGAACGTCCCCGGTGAAGAGTGATAAGGCGCAAAGGTAGGCGCTTGATTGTGTCGCCCGAATGATGAATTGTCGAGGCTCATCGGCGCTAATCACATGTTTCCTCCATTGCTCTGTATTGAATGTGCCTTGTCTGCTGCTGCTGGTCGAAGTGCGACATGAAGCTGAAGAACCTTTCCATAAGGTTGGGGTCCACGCTTGAAGAGGGTGATGGAGTTACCATCTCTGGTGCTCTTCCTGATGTTTCTTGAGCAGTCCCGGTCTCTGTCTGCAGTCCTGAGGCGTGCAGTCCAGAGTTGCCGTGTTGAGTTACTTGGCCGCTGGGTGAGCCCGTAGAGATTTTCTTGCCCTTGCTGTCCATGTCTTGTAATCAATGAAGTCGTTGAATTGAGTTGAGTTGCAGGTTGTTGATAGAGCGCAGTTGCTGGGAGTTTGGTCTCTGACTAGCTCTCATACCATGTTGGGCTGAGAAAAGCCCTTAGGATTTTTCCAGAGACTAAGTCCCAGTTTTAAAAGGCTTGAGTAGTGCAGCGGAAGTTGAGTAGTTGAACCCTTGTACTAGTATATGAGAACAAGTGATTGATTAAAGAAACAAGCATACAGCAATATATAGAAGATAAGAAAACAGTTGTAGAGTACAGTTACAGGAACGGTTTATCGAGTCGCACAGCGACTCGATTGCCGCTTCGGCTACCATCCGTGATGTTGTAACGGTCAGTCGCAACCTCCAGTTGCGACCCTTCGAGTCCCTTCGCGTTCTTTGTCCGCCCCCTCATGTAACCTCCGTTGACTCGCGTGCTCCCCTGTAGTCTTCCTCGAGTGCAGTGTTACACTTCAGAAACGCTTAAGTCCTTTGAGATATTTCCAACACTTATGTTACATCGTATTTGTCGCAATTTTTGCACAGCCATGCTTTCTCAGCTCTGCTTTTGGAGCTTAGCGATGCATGGCTAACGAGAGGACGCCAGTCAATCGTTGAGCAAAGGACACGTGCCACTTGCCGGCTAGCACAGTGGAACGCCTAGGCGCACTTCGGTGGCCGAGCCTACCTATTCGGTTCGCTCACAAAATCAAGCCCCTGCCGCCATCAAGGCAGACGAAGGTCAGCGTCTGCCAAACCGAACCACTTCCACCTGAAATGAGAGTGGAGCAGGTTCAGCCGTGCCGAACCAGTTCAACGACCAGAGTTCCCCCCAGCCAGACGCCTAACCAATCAGGCCCACAAATCCCGCTACAGTACCAGCTGCTGCTGTTACAGGGAACTCTTCTTGTCAGTGTTCGCTACTCTCGAGGCCGAAACACCAACTTCCAGGTTTCACGTTATGCCTGCAGGCAGTACAGTGTCAGCTCAACCATCAGCATCAGCGCTGTGGGGAAATTGGAAGTCAGTCCTACATTCCAGAGGTATCTGATGATATTCTTAGCTCGGTCTATCAGTCGTCAGATCGAGTGGTTGCAGGTAGTGCTAGCTCCTTCTAGAACTAGCCGTCCTTTTCAGGCCGTTTAGTTTTTGGAAGTATTTGATTCCTTTCGTCGTCCTTTGGGCTGTTTCTTGGACGTCCAGCGTACAGGAATTAAATTTCCACCTGCTCCTAGTTTCGCCATTCAAATGGAGCGGAGACCGCCTAACCTGTCGCCCAGTTCGCCGTCCAAGTCGCATGGCCGTCGCAGCCGGCCGTGGTACATGCACGTGCTCGGCGAGCACTACCAGGGGGCGTACCTCCTAGTCGGCTTCCTCGTAGCGTCGGCCATCTTCTCGATGCTGCCCGCCGGCTATCCGCGACCGTCGCCGTTAGATACGGGTTCGTCAACCGTCGGCGACGGCCACGCGTTCTTCTCGGGCGTCCAGAGGTAAGCATCAGGGGCTGCACCCGTTAATGCGTCCGTCTGACATCTCTTTGCGACGCGTTTGTTATTCTTGCACGCGCTTATCCCTTGACCGATGCTTGTCCCTAATATGTCATAACCTTGATCCAAATGACATTTGAATCGACTCAAAAGTCCTCCCGCTTGACCACTGTTTTTCCCTAGTCTTTCATAGGCTTAGTCCATCGCCTTGTTCTCTCGATTATTCTCATTCGGGCCAGCTGTCCTCTGGGCTGGTCGTGGTTAATCATGCTCAGTCTTGGCTTTCCGTGCCTAATGCGTGTGTCGCTCTTCCCCCTCGTCTTCGTTGTCCCTCATATCGTCGCTTCGCTGTGCCTCACCTTTGCCTCTTGTCCCGCATCAGCTCGGCGGCGAGCATCTACCGTCCCAAGGAGGCGGATCATCTCTTCGTGGGGAAGATTCCTCTCGGCGTTCGCCGCACGCCGCTGCGAATCGTCGTCACTGGTGAGAATCGTCGCCACTGGTGAGAATCGTCGTCACTGGTGTGGGGTTATTAGTACTCGAAACTTCCGCGTGCTTCAGGAAACGGGCGTTACTCGTGAGAGGTCAAGGGATTTCGGATAATCGGCTCATGTCTGTCCCCCACATGGGGACCGTAAGTCTGGTCTCGGAGCTCCGAGATAAGTCTTAGTAGCTAATGGAAGGTGTGATGCTTTGGTGCTGCCTTATCACATGGGTGAAAGAGAGAGCCCACGAGAGTTGGAAGGCCGACCCCTTCGCGTCGCCCACAGCCACGTCCGGCTCTTGTGCCAGAGGGCGCATCCCATGCAGGGTATGGAACAGGCGGGGGCAGGGACGTGCTTCGTAAGAGCCGGACGTGGCTATGGGCGGAGTGATCATAGACCACACGGATAACCTGGTTCAGTCAATCGGTTGCTTCTCCTCCGTCACGTGCTCCCTCTTCTTTGCTCCCTTACCCCTTCCCTCCCGTTGCACCGCGTCCATTCATCTGAGCGTCTCTTCTCTCGTCACCCTTCCTTCTCTATCCCCGATGTAATCCACCCCCCTCCCCGGTGCCGGGTTCGTGGGCAGCTGTCGCGGTGATTTCTCAAGGACTCCAAGGGCTGACTCTTTATTCTCTCCCCTCCATCCCTGTCCCATCCACCCCTCTCTCCTCCCCCCTTTTCGAATGCCCCAGGCGGTGCTGGGTTCGTGGGCAGCCACCTGGTGGACCGGCTGATGGAGCGCTGCGACCACGTGATCGTGGTGGACAACTTCTTCACGCCCCTCTTTCCTCTGTCCTCTGCCCCCCCCTCCTCCCCCCACCTCCTCCTCTCCCCTTACCCCTTACATTCCAGGCGGTGCTGGGTTTGTCGGCAGCCACCTGGTGGACCGCTTAATGGAGCGCGGCGACCACGTGATCGTGGTGGACAACTTCTTCACGGGGCGCAAGGAGAACGTGCAGCACCACTTCGGCAATCCGCGCTTTGAGCTCATCCGCCACGACGTAGTAGAGGGGCTGCTGCTGGAGGTGGACCAGATCTACCACCTGGCGTGCCCTGCGTCCCCCGTGCACTACAAGCACAACCCCATCAAGACCATCAAGACGAACGTGGCGGGCACGATGAACATGCTGGGGCTGGCGAAGCGCGTGGGCGCGCGCTTCTTGCTCACCAGCACCAGCGAGGTGTATGGCGACCCGCTGCAGCACCCGCAGACCGAGGAGTACTGGGGCAATGTCAACCCCATCGGTGTGTGCTGCCGCTGCTGCTGTTGGACTTATTTTCATTCTCGCTTATCATTCTCCTCCTTGCTTTCCTCGGGAGTTATACCCAGAAATCCCACCACACTCCCACTTTAATGTATCCTTTGTAATTTCACCTGTCCACGTTTCTGCCCCCCCATGACTGTTCTGCCCCCATGACTCGTTGGCCCATCCACACCCCCATCAACCATGCCACAACCGTGCAGGCGTGCGCAGCTGCTATGACGAGGGCAAGCGCGTGGCGGAGACGCTGACGATGGACTACCACAGGGGGGCGGGCGTGGACGTGCGCATTGCACGCATCTTCAACACGTACGGCCCACGCATGTGCATCGACGACGGGCGTGTGGTCAGCAACTTCGTGGCTCAGGTTGGTGGTGGTCATCCGCTTTCACCATGCAACACACGCTTTCCTCAGCCCATCCCTTGCGCCATCTTACAGCCTTCTGTCTGTTCTCATTTGACTTCCCGCATCCCCCTGCTCCCCTTACCGCCCCTCAGCTCGTGTGCAAGGAGGCGATGATGGTGTGCGGCAACGGGCGAAGCTTGCACTTGATTGACAGTCCAACAGATAGCTTGCTAAGCGAGCTGGGCTTTAACGTGATTGGCGTATTTACTATGGGTCACATTCTCCCGCATTCCCCTCCTCGCCCCCCATCCCTGGCAGGCCCAGTGCAAGTAGGCGATGGCGGTGGATGGCGACGGGCACAGCTCTCAGCGCATTCTCTCACCCCGGTTTCTCCCACCCTCTCTCTCCCTCCCATCCCCCCAGGCGCTGTGCAAGGAGGTGATGGCGGTGTGCGGCGACGGCAAGCAGGCGCGCAGCTGTCAGTCCCTCACACCGTTTTCTCTCACTTCTTAACTCCCCCTCTCCCTCCCTCCCTCCCCGCCTCTCTGCCAGGCGCTGCGCAAGGAGGCGATGACGGTGTACGGCGACGGCAAGCAGGCTCGCAGCTGTCAGTACATCGGTGACCCAAGAGTCCCTTACCTCACTTTCCGCTCCCATACAAACTTTCCCTGCTGCCCGCCTACCGTTACCTCTCACATTCTGACCTCCCTCCTTCCTTCCCGGGCCCCCCTCCATCCCCCCCTCGCTGCCAGGCGCTGCGCAAGGAGGCGTTGAGGGTGTACCGCGACGGCAAGCAGGCTCGCAGCGTCCAGTGCATCGAAGAAAAACAAATCCCTTACCCCATGTCTCTCACATACAACCTTGCCCGGCTGCCCCCCCTCCCTGGCAGGCCTTGCGCAAGGAGGCGATGACGGTGTACGGCGACGGGAAGCAGACGCGCAGCTTCCAGTACATCGACGACCTGGTGGAGGGGCTGATGCGCCTCATGGACGGCGAGCACGTGGGGCCCTTCAACCTTGGCAACCCGGGCGAGTTCACCATGCTGGAACTGGCCGAGGTGAGCCTGCGTCCACTCCTCCTTCCACGCCAGCATGTCACGCGTTGTCGGCTCACCATGCTCAGATTGAGCGGCTGAAGGGGAGCCTGTCGAGGTGAACGTGCTTTCTTTGAGGCGCCTGTAGCAGCTTCCAGTACGTAGGCAACATGGTGGTGGGGCTCATTTGAAGCTGGCCGAGGTGATATTGTCTACACGAGGCGGCTGTGTGCGCTGCTGTTGCCTGGTGGAGGCTCATGCGCCTTATGGACAGCGATCATGTGGGGCCTTCAGCCTCGGCAACATGCTCTCTTGCATCCACTCTAGCTTTTGAGGCATTTGTCAGCTTGTGGGGCCCTTCAACCTTGAAAACTGGGGGAAAGCGGGGAGGGAGAGGGGTAGTGAGCAGGGAGTGGTGGGCCGGAGGGTAGTGAGCTGGGGGGTAGTGAGCCAGGGTGTAGTGGGCCGGGGGTGGTGGGCTGGGGGGTAGGGAGCTGGGGTTAGACAACCAGGGGTCGTGAGTAGTGAGGGGGGGGGGGGGGTAGTGACTGGGGGGTAATGAGCTGGGGAGTAGTAGTGAGCTGGGCAGGGGTAGTGAGCCGGGGGTAGTGAGCTGTGTCCCCCCCACATTCTCCTCTCGCCTCCCACTCCCCCGACCAGGTGGCGCGGGAGCTGATAGATAAGCAGCTACCACTGCAGTTCCGGAGAACACAGTTTCCTCTAGCCTTGCCCCCTGCCTCCCGCCTGACCACTAGACTCCTCTGTAACTCCCCATCCTCCCCCCGCCCCTCGCTCTCCCCACCAGATTGTGCTCGAGGTGATCGACAAGTCGGCCAGCACTGCCTTACAGGAGAACATAGCACGTCACCCGCACAAGTGCAAGCCTTCCCTAGAAACTCACTGAAACCCCACCTCCCCCTCTCCCGCTCGCTCCATGCTGCTCCCCCCTCAGGTGGTGCGCGAGGTGATTGACAAGTCGGCCAGCATTGCCTTCCAGGAGAACACAAACCTTCCTAGACCCCCCCCTCGCCTCCCACTGACCTGCTCCGAAACTCCCCGCCAACCCTCAGGTGGTGCGTGAGGTGATCGACAAGTCGGCGAACATTGCCTTCCAGGAGAACACAGCGGACGACCCGCACAAGCGCAAGCCCGACATCACACGCGCCAAGGAGCTGCTGGGGTGGGAGCCCAAGGTGGCGCTGCGCCAGGGCCTCCCGCTCATGGTGGAGGACTTCCGACGCCGGCTGTTCGGGGAGGTCAAGGAGAGCCGCCAGAGCATTGCCGCACAGGAGGAGGCGAAATGAGGGGGGCTTGGAGTGGATGGGAAGGGTTGTGATTGTATGCTGTCAGTTGTAGGGAGCGTGAGTGACTAGCTAGACGCATTGTGCCTGTTAGCTGACCCGTAGTCAGACCCTCATTTCTAATACTGAAGCACCCCCTTGGGCCTCAGGGCCGGCCAACCCTTTGACAAGACAACACCCCTGGGCTTTGTACTGATTGTAGCAGGTTTTACACAACACATTCGTGAGAACCCCGGATGGAACTGATGGGCCAACCAGATGCACCAATTTTGAACTTGACACAACCAGATACTCAAGATGCTGCGGTCTCAATCCCAGACTCCCCTTCTCCAGGAATATGACAGATCCATGTGTGTAAAGCAAGCCAAGGTGGGATTGCAGAACGTTAGCAAAATTAGTACTAGAACACACATGAGGGGTACAGCAAAAATACAGGGAGAGACTATAAAGCCGTTGGCACAAATTGCCGGAACAAGGTGCAGCAGGCAACGCTGAAAAGCGTGCACCAGGTGTGCTCAAGCTGCTTGCTTCCCCGCACCACCTCCTGCAGGTCCCTCATCCTTGAAGCCGCGGTGCAAGATCGGGAAAAACCCTGTACCCGTGGAGGTAGTTGGGTGGTGGCGAGGAAGGAAGGAACCCATCCACGCCCGCATGCACTCGTGGCTTGGCTTGTCCCTCTCATGCTTTCTTGTGCTCGCAGTGATCGTGATCACATGTGTGGTGGACCGTGCTACTCCTGCCCAGCCCGGCCAGCAACCACCTCCAGCAGCACCTGCTGCAGGTCTCTCATCCTGACTGGCTTGGCAAGGAACCCATCCATGCCTGCAGTCGCGCACTTGTCCCTCTCGTGCTTCAGCACACTCGCTGTGAGCGCATAAATAGCCGACCGCTGCCGCTGCTGCAGAGCCTCCCCCGTGTGACCCCTTTCAGCACAAGGCTCCTCGCGTGCATCCCCCCCTGCGCGCACACCATCTGTCAAAGACCGCGCTTCGCTCACCCCTCCCTCTGCACTACCAGAGGAAGGAACGTGGCCACTGGGCGCATAGGCAATGTGGGCGGCGGACTGCAGCTGGCGGATGCGCGTGGTGGCCTCGAAGCCGTCCATCACTGGCATCTGGCAATCCTGCAGAGGAGATGGGAACAGGAAACAGCGGGGAACAGGCGGTTCAGTGAGGAACATCTGCAGGGTCAGGCATCGGTCGCAGGGTTGAGCTTTGGTTGTGGAGCACGGAGTTGGCAAGAGGATTGGAATTGGAAAACGGGGTGGGGACCGTGAAGATGACATGGCAGTTGGTGGATACAGGATTAAGAGAAAAAGCAAGTGAGAGGCAAGCACAGGCACGGACCATGAAGATGACGTGATAGTTGGTGGCGGCGCAGGCCTCCACGGCCTTGCGGCCGTTCTCTGCCACGTCGCACGCCACTCGCAGGTTTCTCAGCAGCTGCACCACCACCATGCGGTTCACCGCGTTGTCCTCCACCACCAGGCACCGCAGCCCCGAGAATGCACTCCCACCATCAACACCACCAGCATCACCACCAGCACCACCAGCACTAGCACTAGCACTAGCACTAGTACTAGCAGCAGCAGCACCACCACCACTGCCAGCACTAGCACCAGCAACACCTGGCCTGGCTCTGGCCCCCCTGCGGCTGCCCTGCGCCCTCCCACCCTGCGCCCTCCCACCCTGCGCCCTCCCAGCCTCGCCTTCATCCACGTCACCTCCTCTGCTCCCCTCCTCCTCCTCTTTCCCCCGCCCCTTCCCCCTTGTGCTACAGCCACACTCCCTGCTGGCAATCTCTACCTCCTGCTGTTCCATCTCCCGCCCTCGCTCATCCTCCTCCTCCTCTTCCTCCTCCTCTTCCTCCTCCTCTTCCTCCTCCTCTTCCTCCTCCCTCTGCCGCTGCTCCTGCTGCTGCTCCCGCCTCTGCTGCTGCTGCTGCACCAGAGGGTCATCAGCAGGCATAAGAGGCAGTGTGACCATGTCAGGCAGCGACGCCGTGCCCACCACCTTCAGATCCCCCTCCTGCCCGCTGCAGGCCGGCCGGGCAGAGGTGGGGGTGAAGGGCAGGGAGAGGGAGAAGGTGGAGCCTTGGTGGGGCGTGGAGGCGAGGGAGATGCAGCCCCCCATGAGTGACGCCAGCGAGCGGCAGATGGACAGACCCAGGCCCGTGCCGCCGTGTTTGCGGCACGACGAGTCATCCACCTGCCGGAAGGGGGTGAACAGCTGCGACTGCTGGTCACTGGGGATGCCCACTCCCGTGTCCCGCACGTCTATGCGCACCCACACCGGCTTTGCAGCACCCTCATGTGCCTCTGCTGCCTCTGCTGCCTCTGCTGCGTCTGTGGGTTGTTGGAAGGAGACTCCCTTCTTGTTTTGAGGCGCTACAGAACCAGACTCCGTGGGTTGCTGGGAGTGGAGCGACTTGTGTTCAGATGCTTGATTGGGAGCACACTCCTCAACACACGTCCCTGCGCCGGCTGTGCTGCCTCCTGCACCACCCCCTGCCAGAGCCGGCCCTCCTCTTTCTCCTCGACCTCGTGTTTCCCTGTCTCCCACTGACGAGCTTTTCCTCCTGCCTGCTAAAGCGCCTGCTCCTCTCTGTGTGTCTCTCGTCTCCCCCTCCTGAACTTGCCAGCCCTTATTGTGCCGCATCCCTCCTTGCCCGTCCTCTCTCCTCTCTGCCCCTTGTGTTCCCACCCTGCCACCTGCGTCTGCTCCTCCTCCCCAGGCTCCACCTCCTCCTTCTCCTTCTCCTGCTGCTGCTGCTGCTTCTACTGTTCCTGCTTCAGCAGCTTTCCCAGGACAAGTACTTCTGCCCCCTCCTGTTCTACCCGTCCCTGCAGCGCACCCTTCCCCCTCCCCCATCCCTCCCTCCTCCCCCATCCCGCCACCACTACCCATCCCGCCACCACCAACCATCCCTCCACCACCAACCATCCCTCCACCACCACCCATGCCTGTCAACACAGCTTCCACAGCCACCACGGCAGCATCGGCAGCAGCGTCGGCCCGAGCCAGCACAGCCCCGGGAGCATCCCAAGAGGCCTGGCGCGTGTGACTCACCCCTCTCATTCCGCCTCCTCCTCCTCCCTGCTCCCCCCCTTTGCCCTCGCGCCCTCTGGTTTTGGCTTCATGACCCCCGCGCCTACCCTCTGAGCCCGCACTCATAGCAGGAACCCCCGTGCCATCCCCATCCGCAAAGCAGGCACTCACACGCGCGCGCTTGGCGGGAGGGCCTCTGCCCAGTCCACGCAGCAGTGGTGACTGTTGAGTCACCTCAAGAAGCACTTCAGCTGGAGGGCCAGTGTGTGACACTTTCCCCAGCCCACGCGGCAGCAGAGCCTCTTGAGTCGCCTCAAACGTCGCTTCACCTTGAGGGCCCTGGGGCAGCCCACTCAGCTGCACGGACTCTTGGGTCGACTCAAACCTCAGTTCACCTGGAGCGCCCTCGCCCACAGCACTTGCTGGAGGGCCCTGGGGCAGCCCACTCAGCTGCACCGACTCTTGGGTCGCCTCATACATCAGCTCGCCTGGAGGGCTATGGGCCAGAGCACTTGCTGGAGGGCTCTGGGCCAGGGCAGTCAGGTGTGTGGCGGAGTGGGAGGAGCGGATGCGCTGTGGGGGGTGGAAGGGGAGGGAGGAACCAATTGGCTGCGGCGGTGGGAAGGAGAGGGATGCACCCATGAGTGCAGGCTGCAGTGGCTGCGATGGTAGGGCTTGCGGCGCCGCAAGCGATGGTCTGACGGGCTGCAAGAGCAGCGGTAGCATGCAGGGCGCTGCTGCTCCCACGTGCGTGCCACCTTCTTGCTCGCCCACTGTCCCTGTGGCTTCATCATCATCATCATCATCAGCAGCAGCAGCAACACCACCAACAGCAGCAGCAGGCAGAGGGCCATTCCCAGTCCCAGGCCCAGGTGCAGGTGGGCCAGGTGCAGGTGGGCCAGGTGAAGGTGGGCAAGGTGCACGTGGGCCAGGTCCGAAGCCTGATGGCTGTGGCTCATGCAATGGTGCGCCCACTGAATGGGCTTCTGCCAAAAGTGCTTCTGCTCTGTGCGCCTCCTTTGACTGGAGCTCCACGGAGCTTGCATCTCCGAAGTTCCCAGGAGCTGCCGCCTCACTGCAAGGCGCCTCATTTGCACGCACTGCTGCTTCTGCTTCTGCTGCTGCTTCTGTTCCTGCTGCTGCTGCTGCTGCCGCTGCTGCTGCTACTTGTGGTTTCCTCTCCAGAAACACATGCACCTCCACTTCGCCACTGCGAGATGCGCCAAGGAGCAGCAGGGGCAGCAGGCAAGGGGAGAAGGGGAGTGATGGCTACAAGGGTGGCAGCATAAACGACAGGGAATAGCAGGGCGTGAAAGGGTGGAAGCCGTATCCAGTAGTGATGGCTCATATCCAGAACTTGGAGCTTGGAGGCCGTATCCTAAAGTACTTCCGCATTCCAACACCCTGACGTCGGGTGGAAAGCTTTATGCAGTGCCTCTCTGGTGCGGACACACAAACAGGCAAGCTGGGTGCAGACAGGCAAGCTGGGTGCAGACAGGCAACAAACCCCCCCCCCTCCCCGGTCCTCTCCCCCCCCCCCCCCTCCCTCACGGAAACACGCTACTTCTCACGCTCACGTGTCGGTGAACTTGATGGCGTTGGAGAGCAGGTTGAGCAGAATCTGGCGCACCCGGAACTGATCGCCCAGCACGCATGCAGGCACGCCCTGCCCCACCCTGCTGAGAAGCTGGGGAGCGAGAAGGAAGGGGGAGAAGAGAGGGCGTCTCAATTGATCACCCAGCACACACGCAGACACACCCTCCCGTCCCGGCTGACACGCCCTCCCAGCACACACGCCCACACGCACACACGCCCTCGCCCACCCGGCTGTGCAACTGGAGAATGCAAAGAGCATGAGAGAGAAGGCAGTCACAACTGGACCGTGAGAGAACCCCCACTGAACCACCACCTCCCGCCCTTCCTGTCAGCTCACTTTGAGCCACGTGCCATCAGCACCGGTGCGTACCACATCCCATCATTCCTTCAGCTCACCTCAAGCCAAAAATAAAGAAGAAAAAAAGGAAGAAGAAAGAGGTGACCTTGAGCCCCTTGCCGTCAGCCGCGGTGCGCACGACATCCAGGCACTGTGCAAGCGTCCTGCGGATGTCAAACGGGTTGCGGTCCAGCACGAGCGCATGCGCCTCGATCTTGGTGATGTCCAGCACGTCCGAGATGATGTGGATGAGCGCGGTGCCGGACGACGAGATCACGTCCACGTACGAGCGCTGCTGGGGGGAGAGCGGCGTGCGCAGCAGCAGCTCGGCCACGCCGATGACGCCGTTCATGGGCGTGCGCAGCTCGTGGCTCATGTTCGCCAGGAACCGGTTCTTCGCCTCGCTCGCTGCCTCCGCCACCTCCTTGGCTTTGCGGAGCTCTTCCTCCTTTCGCTTGGAGTCGGTGAGGTCGTGCCACACCACCAGCAGGCACGACTGGCCACCGATCTCTATGAGCTTCACCTTCACCTGGGAAGCAGGAAGCGAGCAGCATCACACAAAAGACAGGTGCATGCAGGGCAGCACGACAGAAAGGTGCATGCACGACAGAACACTGAATATGAATACAGAACGGGCAATAAGGGGAGCACCCTGCAATGACCTGCAACGAGCCACAACAGGCTCCACCTTCCTGCTACAACAAGCCAACCCAGCCGCCATACCTGCAGCATCATGGGGTGCCCATCGGCCATCAGGTGGCATCACTCGAACTCCAGGAGCTCGATGGGGTTCGTTTTGAAGGACTCTCAAACCAGCCGAACCAGGCAGCCCTCACATCACCTGCAGCATGATGGGGTTCACATCACCTGCAGCATCATGGGGTTCACATCACCTGCAGCATGATGGGGTGCCCGTCGGCCGTCAGATGGCACCACTCGAACTCCACGGGCTCGCCGCTCATCATCTTCCCATGCATGCACAGAATGGCCTCCCTGGACCGCTGCCCGTTGGGCTGGAACTCGGGGCTCATCTTGGCCACGCGGAAGTTGGCGATGGCGTCCGCCTTGCTGCTGAACCGCATGAGCCTCACCGCCGCGTCGTTGCACTCGATGAGCGCCATCTTGCTGGAAAACACCAGGATGGGCTCCTGATGGGGGGAAGGGTGGGGGGAAGGGCGTGCGCAGGGAAGGAGAGAAGGATGGGGTGCCTACGAATCTGCTTCAGCGTTGCCCCTGAAGGGCATGAGCTTCACTGCCGGGGTTGGGGGCAGTGGGGGAGAGGGAGGTGGGGGAGGGCGGGAGGGATTGGAAGGGGTTGGTTGAGGGACCAAAAATGTGAATATGGCTTTACAAGCAAGGAGCACATTGGGAGCTGGGAAACAATGGCGAGAAGAGGCATGCACCATGGAGAGCAGAGGCACGCACCATGGAGAGCTGGTAGATGGCGTGGAACTTGGCGTGGCCCTGGCACTCCAGCAGCGTTGCATGCATCTCCTCCACCAGCCCCACCGCCGCCGCCAATGCACTCCCCTCCCCCTCCCCTTCCTCCCCCTCCTCTCCCCCCTCCCCGCCCCCTCCCTCATCCGCCCCCCCACCCTCCCATCCTCCACCCGCAGGCAGGGGGGGGGTCTCCCCAGCCGCGTAGGCGGGCCAGAAGCGGTCGGGAAAGCCGTCCGCGCGCCGCCCCACCAGTGGCATGCGCCGATTCCGCCTCCACCTGCGGCGCCGTGGCTGCAGGTGCAGCCTGTGCGGCTGGGGGGAGGGCGAGGGGGAGGGGGCCGTGGCGCCGGCATGAGGGCTGATCTCAGGGGGGGGGGGCGGCGCAGAGATGGGAGGGGCTGCAAGAGGGGTGTGGGCGGAGGTGGGAGGAACTCCGGTGGTGTTGGTGTCGCTGTCACGGCGGGGGGGATGGGTGGAGATGAGGTGGGCTGAGAGACCCCCAGTGGCGTTGCGGCCGCTGGCTGTGTTGGATGCGGCAGAGGCAGTTGTGAGGGCGCTGGGGGCTTTGGCAGCAGTGGCGGGGTGAGTGGCGGCAGGTGGGGCGCGCGAGAGAGGGGTAGTCGTGCGTGCCATGGAGGCATCATCGAGCGCAGCAGCAGCAACCGCAACACGAAATTGGGCAGCAGCGGAAGATTGGGTGCGGACAGCAGCAGCAGCAGCAGCAGCAGCAGCAGCAGCAGCAGCAGCAGCAGCAGCAGCAGCAGCAGCAGCAGCAGCAGCAGAGGGGTGGGGAGAGGCAGCAGCAGTATTGGGGTGGGGTTGCGTGGCAGGCAGGGGGCGGGCGTGAGCAACAGCAGCAGCAGGAAAAGCGGTAGCAGAAGGGGGGTGGTGTTGATCAGCAGGAGCAGGGGGATGGGTTCGTTCAACAGGCAGGGGGCACGTGCCGCAGTGCTGCTCGACGCCAGATGTGTGGGCCTCAGCCGCATCAGCAGCAGCAGCAGCATCGGCAGCAGGAGCAGCCACAGCAGGAGCAGTGGCAGCGGCAGCATCAGCAGCAGCGGCAGCAGAAGCGGAGGGTAAGGTGTCGTCTGCAGGCAGGGGGCGGGCGCCATAGTGCTGCTCGACGGCATCGCCCCAGGAGACGGGGTCGGCAGGCCTGACCTGCGCCAGGTTGGTGGCCAGCTCGCTGCACGCCATTGCGTGCTGCAGGAGCTGAGCCTGGGGGGGGGAGAGAGGGGTGGAGAGGGGTGGAGAGGAGCAGAGAGAGACGCAAGGAGGCACAGAGGGGCTTGGCTTGGTTGAAGGGTTCACTTGGAATAGTGCACTGCGTGTATGCTGTGCTGTGGCGTGGTTGGAAGCTGGTTGGAACGCGGCCAGGGGGGAATGCTGCCAGGGTTGCAAGAAGAGAACATAGATCACACGCGCACAGCGCATGATAGTGGACTCAGCGCACAGCTCGTGATAGTGGACTCAGCGTACCTCCAAGGCTGTCCGGGTGGAGATGTCATGGAAAAGACACAGAAGCCAACCGCCATCACATGCACATGCACATGCACATGCACATGCACATGCACATTCATCATGGTGCAGAATGGAGCCGTCCATGCATCCACTCTGCTGATTCCGCCTTCCAGCGTCCATGCGACCACCACAACCCCCCGTGCAGCACCTCTCCTCCTCTCCGATCCCACCAGCAGCTCCCCCCATCTCACAGCCTCCCCTCTCCACTCCTTGCATCCCGTCCCTGCCACCGCCTCTTGCTGCTGCTTCCCCCCTTCCCTTCTCCTCCTCTGCCGTCCATCTTTCGTCCTCCTCCCCCTCTCTCTCCCTCTCGGCCACTCCCAGCACTCCCAGCACTCCCATCGCCTGTGTAGAGGTCAACCCAGCCACAATGCCATCAACACGCAGAACGCACATCTCAAACCATTTGTAATCGCTGCTGCTGCCACTGCCACCACCGCCACCTAAGATACACGGCTCTCCTCCCCTACCCCGCCCTGCTTCTCTTGACACCTCTGCTGCTGCTGCTCCTGCTGCTGCTGCTGGTGTTGCCGATACCACTTTCGCACCTGCTGCTGCTAGTGCTTCTGCTGTTGGCAGTTCTGCCCTCTCGCGTGCATACGGCAGTCGCACATCCACACACCGTGCTGCTGTACATGCTGCCGCTGCTCTTGCTACTCCTCCTCCTCCTCTTGCTCCTCCTGCCCCAGCCGCTCCTCCTGCTCCTGCTGTTGTTCCTGCTCCCCCTGCTGCTGCTGCTTGGTGTGAAAGCGTATTCTGCAGCACAGGACAGAAGGCCAGAAAGAGTACAGCTCGCGAGCAGACGACCCAACACGACCCACAGCGACCCACAACCACCCAGAACTCCAAAAGCTTATGTCACAATGATACACCAGAATACGCCACAGAACAGCACTACACGAGAAGCAGACAGACAAACCAGCATTCGCGGACCTACTCAATTGACACTCCCTCGCCGTTTAGCCGTCTGCCTTAGTCGGTCAGACGTTACCCCCTCCCCTAAGCGCCATACCTTGACTCTGCTGACGTCATCGGGATGAATCAGCTGCAGCAGCGACCTTCCTAGAACCTTCGCTGTCGCAGTCCTCCCATCCGCGTGACTCCCCCTCGCCTCCCCCTGCTGAGGCGACCTGACGCTCACTGATGGACAGCCGGCAGGCTCTTGCACCGCCTGCCGGTCAGCCGTTACTGGTGGACCCGCAGCGCCGGCAACAGTGCGCAGGAGAGCGGCGCTGCACACACTCAGTGAGGACGTGTCACGGGGGGAGGGGAGAGGGGGGAGGAAGGGGACGACCGGACGAGGGGAGAGGGGGGGGGAAGGGGACGACCGGAAGAGGGTACTTTGAGGCGCCTCAAAAGCAAGACGGCAGGAGGGCGGAACGTTAGAGAGGGATGACCGGAAGGCGGTCACGTGAAGAAGCACTTCAAAAAAAAAAAAAAAAAAAAAAAAAAAAAAAAAACAACTGCTGGACGAGTGAGCGATGGAAAGGCGGCGAGTGCCTTGAAACTGTAACTGTAACTGAAACTGAAATCGAAACTGAATTTGAAACTGTCGATGCCGAGCTGTCCGGCTGCCTGACGCAAGGCTTGCTTGACCCAGAATCTGGGAGCCGGTCAGGCGGGTGGACTGACTGAGGCGCGAACGACTCGGCTGCGAGCGGCCTGTCAGAGAGGGGATGGTGCATTGCGGCGAGCGGAGCGCGGGCGAAGCGAAACGGGCCGCAGGATGAGCCTGCAGGCAGAATGCTCTACGTGGACTGCAGAATGCTCTACGTGTGCTGCAGAATGCTCTACGTGGACTGCAGAATGCTCTACGTGTACTGCAGAATGCTCTACGTGTACTGCAGAATGCTCTACGTGTACTGCAGAATGCTCTACGTGTACTGCAGAATGCTCTACGTGTACTGCAGAATGCTTTAGGGGATGATGCTCTACCTGCATTGCGTGATGCGGAAGTCGCTGGTGGGGGCGACGAGCGCGGCAGGAACAGCGGCGAGCACGAGGCTGAGGAGAGAAACGGACTCATTGTCTCGGGCGGATTCGGCGGGCGAGAGTCGACGACAGTCGGCTCGCAGACTGAGATTTGCTTGGCTTACAGGAGCGTGCTTGCCGGCGTGAAACGGGAAATCAGAGACGGCTCCTAAAGACATGGCTTTGTACGACGCGCTGTAAAGACGTGCGAACGAAGCTACCGAGCTGTGACAGGGATACGGTCATGGATCATCATGAAGAGGCTTCTAGAGTGGAAAACGGTCACGGATAACTAGCACTGCTCTGTAGTTTTTGTTTCAATTGTTCTTCAGAAAACAATGGAGCAGCAAGCATCGCCGGACCGGAGTCCTCCTGGATTGCTGAGGCGGTGGCAGGCTTTCCGCCAAGTGGGGGTGCGGTCTGGGGAAAGCAGGTGGTGGGGGAGGAAGGGATGCTGCGCAGTACAGGATGCTCCGCTCCGCTCCGCTGTCCCTGTTGCGCAGTGTGCAGCGAATGGCGGAAACGTGCTCCCGCAAACAGCAGACCTTGGCGCAGGGTACTGCAGAGACCAGTGCCTTCCTTCCGTAGAGCCACAGCAACCTTGGGTTTCCCAAAACCTGACTGGGGCAGGGACCAATCAGCGAATAGGAAACGACAATGCATGAACGACAAGAGGGCAAGTGTAGAACAAAGCCCATTGTGCAGTGCATGGTCCTGATTCTGCCACCCACCAACGTTTCCGTGTCACAGGTTCGTCTGGTTCAACGCATTTCTGCTGGAGACATGTACGGAACTCACGGGTGAACAAATGTAATAAATATTTTAAAAAATCCAAGTTACATAGGCTGATTAAAGGGCACCAATATCGCCTGCCCATTGTGGCAAGCAGCACTGCATGTTTTAACCTGGGGCCTGGCCAGCACCTGGCTCAGCACCTGCTGCAGATCCCTCATCCTGATTGGCTTGGCCAAGAACCCATCCATCCCCACAAGGGCACACTTGTCCCTCTCGTGCTTCAGCACACTCGCCGTCAGCGCATAAATAACAGACCGCTGAAGCGCTTGCTCTTGACAATCTGTTTGTTGTTGGTGCTGCTGCTGCTCCTTTCTCACATCCACAGAGCAGCAGCCAGGCTGTCCGGTTGAGGGCGATCCTAGTCCCTGGAGGCTGCGAATGCGGGTGGTGGCTTCAAACCCGTCCATCACAGGCATGTGGCAGTCCTGCAGGCACCACGGGAGAAAGAGGAACAGGAACAGGAACAGGGGAAAAAAGGAAGTTTAGGGAGAGAAGACGAGAGGTGCGGGTGGGCACTAACCATGAATATAATGTGGGAGTCAGTGGAAAGGGCATGTGAAGCAACAAGTGAGACCTGTATGAGATCTGTAGACAAGGGGCAAGCATCCACACTGACCATGAAGATGACGTGGTAGTTGTTGGTCTTGCACGCCTCCACAGCCTTGCAGCCATCCACCGCCACGTCGCAGGCCACCTTGAGGCTCCTGAGCAGGCGCACCACCACCATGCGGTTCACCGGGTTGTCCTCCACCACCAGGCATCGCAGCCCCTCAAAGCTCGTCGGCCCAGCACCTGCCCCACTCCTGCCCCCTCCCCACGTCCCTTCCTCCCCCCCCTTGGGGCTACCCGCAACAGGGGAGACGCTTGGACCCACGGGCATGCCTCTGTGAGACCCCTCATCCCGCCTGCCTCCAGCCTTCCCCTCCACCCCCTCCTGCACTGCACCTGCCCCTGCTTCCTCCTGCCCCCGCCCCCCCACCCCTTGGCCCTCCACCTCCGTGGATCTGCCGTCACTGTGGTCAAACGAGTCCAGCTCGGCCACAACCGGCCCCAGCTCCGTATTCAGGTAGCTCGCCAATGGCTCGGCAGCAGGACGGGCGCTGCCAGTTGCCACTGCCGCTACTGCTGCTGCCCCCGCCTTGCCAGAGGCAGCAACAGCAGCCGCAGCGGCAGCAGCAGCTGATGATGATGGTGATGATAACATCTGAGTTGTGGAGTGCGGTGGGCGAAAGGGCGACTGCCTGGTGGGCTGAAGTGGCAGCACGAGGGAGAAGGTGGAGCCTTGGTGGGGCGTGGAGGCGACGGAGATGCAGCCCCCCATGAGCGACGCCAGCGAGCGGCAGATGGACAGACCCAGGCCCGTGCCGCCGTGCTTGCGGCACGACGAGTCGTCCACCTGCCGGAAGGGGGTGAACAGGCGCGCCATGCTCTCGGCTGAGATGCCCATGCCGCTGTCCCTCACATCTATCCGCACCCACACCGGCGCTGCTGCTGCCGCACTGCCCTGCCCTAACGCTGTCCCAATCTCATCCTGCTGCTGCTGCAGCGGCTGACTTCCTGCCTCCCCTCCCAAGAAATCCCTGCGATGTCTCTTGGACTCACTAGCCTCTGACCCCGCTGCCGCTGCTGCCCCTGCACCTTCTAATTCGTCACCCCTCGCCCTCTTGCCAAGAACTCCCCCACCAGTCTCCTCCCCTTTCCTCACCTCCTCTCGCTCCCACCCACCCCCACACACCCACACTCCACCCCCCTCCTCCCGCTGCCCTTGCTGCAGCACTGGCCGCTCAGCACTAGTGGTAACCGTTACACCCACCGTGCCGGCATCGGTGAACTTGATGGCGTTGGAGAGCAGGTTGAGGAGAATCTGCCGCACCCGGAATTGATCTCCGATCACCGTTGTGGGCAGCTGCTCGCACACACTGCTTGACACCTGCAGGCCCTTCCTGCTCGCAGCAGACCGAACAGCATCTAACGAGTCGGCCACTGTTTCTCGCAGGTCAAACGGGTAGGACTCGAGCACGAGGGAGTGGGCCTCGATCTTGGTGATGTCGAGCACGTCGGAGATGATGTGGGTGAGGGCGTTGCCGGAGGAGCAGATGACGTCCACGTACATGCGCTGCTCGTCCGTCAGCGCCGTGCGCAGCAGCAGCTCGGCGACGCCGATGACGCCGTTCATGGGCGTGCGCAGCTCGTGGCTCATATTCGCCAGGAACCGGTTCTTCGCCTCGCTGCCCGCCTCCGCCGCCTCCTTGGCCGCCTTTAACTCCTCCTCCTTGCGCTTCATCTCGGACAAGTCGTGCCACACGGATAGCATGCAGCGCTGCCCGTCCACCACGATCTCGCGCACGTTCAGCAGCACGTCGAACGGCGTCCCGTCCGCCGCCAGGTGGCGCCACTCCGTCACGACCGTCTCGCCGCTCAGCATGCGCGCCACGTTGATCGCCGCCACGTCAGCGGAGAGGCGGCCGTCGGCCTGGAACTCGGGCGCGCCTGTGAGCGCGTCGAAGCGGGCAATGGCCTCTTCTTTGGACGAGAAGCGCATGTGGCGCACGGCGGCGTCGTTGCAGTCCATAATGCGGAACTCGCGTGACACTATGAACATGGGGTCCTGGTGGGGCGCAGGGGGGATGATGGGAGCATGGGGTGAAGGCATGGGTAGGCTGATGCGAAACTCGCGAAAGAAAATTAACATGGGGAAGGGACGGGGAGAGGGAGGAAGGGGTGAGCAGGTAAACGGGTAAAGGGGTGGGGGGTGAAGGGGTGAGGGGTGTTGGGCAAGAGTTGAAAGGGTTTCGAGGGGAATGAGAGATGGACAGGTGGGAAAGGGAGAAGGTACGACTACTAGCCTGGCAGGGCACCACTGGGTGCAGAGATGCCGTGAGAAGCGTCAACGGCAGAGCAAGCGGCAGTGCGGTCACAAACCAGGCACGGGAGGGGCACTGACCAGGGACATTTCGAAGATGGTGCGGAACACCGAGTTCTTCTGGCTCTCCCGCAGCAGCCCCTTCACCGTCCCCAGCAGCTGCAGCGCCTTCCCCAACGGCTCCCTCTCCTCGTCATCCCCCCTTGCCTCCTGCCCGCTCGCCTCCTCACTCCCCTCGCTCCTACTTCCCTGCTTCGCACTCCTCTCCTGCTCGGCTCTCTCCTGCTCCTTCCGTCCCTCCGCGCCCTCCCCGGCGGCTGGCTCTCTTGGCGCCACTCGCTCGTCTCTCCGCCCGTCCGCTTCACTTCTCACTCCCTCCCCTGCCTGTCCCCTGTCACTAGGCGTCTCATCAGCAGACGCAGCCGCAGCAGTCGCAGAGCCCTCTGCAATGCCCTGCGACGTGTCGGTGCAACCTCCGCGAGTGGCGTCAGTGTTAGTGCCGTCACCGTTGCTGCACTTAAGGTTGCGCAGCGCATCTGCGCCAGACCTCTGCGAGTCGTCGCCAGTGCTAGGGTTTCGCGCGTCATCGCTACGCGGGCTACCTGCGGCGTCACAGCTGCAAGCCATCGTCTGCATCTGCGCGCCGTCGGCGCGAGAAGGGCTCGGTGCGGCATCAGAGCAACGCTGCTGTGCGCCGTCGGCGCGGGGAGGGCTGCGAGGCGCGTCGCCGTCTCTCCCGCCCGCTACGCGCATGGCCATGTCAGCCGTGTGCCGCAGCTCGCGCACTAGCACGTCCTGCGCGGGCGACAGGGAGGAGTGGAGGAGAGGTGGAGAGGGAGAGAGGGGGAGAGTGGGAGTGAGAGAGTGAGAGGGGGAGAGAATGTGTGAGCCGGCCATGTCGGCCGTGTGCCGCAGCTCGCGCACTAGCACGTCCTGCGCGGGCGACAGGGAGGAGCAGAGGGGGAGAGGGAGAGTGCGTGAGGGTGAGGCAACGAGTGGGGGCCGTGGAAGGGGAGAGGAGGCAGTGATGAGGGGATGAGGGGATGAGGGGATGAGGGGATGAGGGGGTCAAGATCCTTCAGGTCGAAGGTGGGAACAGAGTTGTCGGTGGGTGGGCCTGACGGTTGTAACGTGATGCACAATACAAAGGAAGCACGAGGCGAGGCGTGCGGTGCACGTCTCACCATGCCGGCTCGCCGCGCGGAGATCTCGTGGAACGTCGCGAGGATCCATGGCTGCGAAGGCGCCGTTGCCCGCTCGCCGCTCCCACCGCTCCCACCGCTCCCACCGCTCCCACCGCTCCCACAGCTCCCACGGTTGACGTCCGACGCCGTCTCTGCAGCCATCGAATCTTGGGAGAATCGACCTCCCGATGGCCGACTGTCCAACCCCATCGGTGTCGCTTCGTCCCGCACAGCAGATGCTTGGTCTGATGCTGCTTCGTGTTGCTTGCTGCGACAGTCGCCTGCTCTGCGAAAAGCGTCGCCGGGGACTCTCGTCACGAGCGACATCTCGAACCATCGCCACTGAGAAGGCTGTGGGGTGCTGTCGTTCGGGCATGCGACGGATTGGTCGCAATGTCTATCGTCGCTGACCCGCAGGCGAACGTCGACCCGCTTCTGCTGGGGGGTTGAGGTGGCTCCGGCGAACTCGGCCATGATTGGCTGGAGAGACGAGGGGGAGCGAGGGGGACGACACGAGGCGAGATGGAAGGTTAGGGAGGTAAGGGACGTGCGGAGAGCCACGGCAAGAGACTTTTTTAAGAACTGAATCCAACGGAAAGCCTACAAGACTGAAATACTCGAGCATGAAATCACGTATATAATAGTCTCTGGCGGAATGGAATCATGCTGGACTTAAAAGTGAGAAGAAGGGCCGGCAGACGGACCTCAACGGCTATTGTATCTTCTGAATGTAAGTAATCGGCTATCCGCTTCCCTCCTATGGCGTCCGGCTTCGCTCCGAGTATTCGCATCAACGCGTGGCTGCACAGGTACCGGACCAAACCGAGGGGTTTCCGTAATACTTCAGGTAACAGGTATGAGAAAGGAGATCGACCATGGGAAACGACAAGAGCTGCTGGATTGAGAGTGATGTGAGCAGACTGATGACCTCCGGGGTTTCTAAGGGTGAAATGCCTGCGAGACAGTCTCGCGCGACAGCTACGCGTGCGAAGAGAGAGGAGATTCTAGAGTTTCTAGGGTTGAAATACCTGCAGTGAGCGACGCGGAATCCGTCTCTGCAGGTGAAAAGAGCCGCTGGAATGACGTCTAAGAGGATCGGGCCGAGATATGGACAATGGTGGGGAGCCATGTTCTTAGGCATTTTCTGAATATGTGAGTATTATTAATCGCAAGGACCTGCGGTCCAAATTGATCAGAGAGTCGTCGATCGACGCGTGTGAGTATTATTGATCGCTACCGAGGATCCTGCTCGATAGCTATGTTGATGTACGAGTTCGTTTGTCCTGCGAAACGAGAACCTAATGAAGAAACCAGAGAACCAGGGAAACTAGCCCAGGGTCTAGATGCTCGTCAAACAACTTCTGTTATTACGCATTTGGGCTTCTGCGCTTCGGAGCTAACGAAGGTAACTAACCGCACGAGGGAGCTAATGAAGAGACCAATCAAAAGGAGCCACTGTACTCGACGTAACGTCCGAGACCTGTAGTAGCCGAAAGCGGATGATTCGTGGAGGATGCTAGGCGACGATGACGCAAGCGAGCAGACGGAAAGCACCTAATGATAGCCACCGCGTGGTGGGGGTGACAACAGCGGCCTAAGGACCAACTAGATGACGTCGAGATCGAAATATCATTCAATCAAACTTCTCACCGCGCCAAGGAACGTGCAAACAGTTCTCCTCCATGGCAAGAGAGTGCTTCTACATACTGTTCTGGTGGCTGGTGTGATAATGAAAAGGCGCGTGACGCAGTTGGTGGGTGGGGGGAGGAGGAGGGGCGAACTGAAGCTGACCTGAGCCGAGGTGAGCCTGGGAGGCTGAGTCTGCCTGTCCGTCTGCCTGCCTGTGGAAAGTCGGGGGTATGCTGAGAGAGGAGCCAAGCCAAGGAGATGAGCGAGAGGGCGGGAGAAAAGAGGAGAGGGGCAGAGGGGAGAGGATGCGCATGCGATGCGATGTGATTGATGTGAGGTGGTTCGTTCGCGTGAATGGTGAACCACGGGTAGACAGCAGGCTTGTTGCTCCAAATCTTGGTTGCGCTGGACTGCCGAAGGTCGTTGGGGTGGTTTCCTATTTATCCAGGAACCAAAGAGTATTTTGCCATGAAAGGACTACTTTTCTGTTTGGCAGAGTGGATGAACCCCTTCCTTCTTTCCAGAGTTACGTAGTGGGAAAGAGAGAGAACGTCGGCCTCTTGAACCAGTCACTGATACAGTCTCAGCGGGAAAAGTTGTCTGGTTGGTCATTTATTCCATTTGACTTCTCTTTAGGGCATATATAGAAAAAAAATCCCCGAATTTGATACACTGTATGTTTTCTGACACAGAAGAGTTGGAAATGGAAGTGGGCGGGCGTTGTGTGAGGAAAGAACCTTGGATGCAGCCAGAACGCACGGATATTGTATCCTAACAGAAAGTGCTGTTGTGATCGCTTTGTTCGTCACCGATTCACCACAATGTTCTCTTCCAGGGGCACTGAATTGCTGTGCTGTTGCGCATGCGTTCCTCGCTCCAGTCGGCACGTGCTAGTTCTACCTTGCAAGAAAAAGAAGCCTTATTCACAATGTGGCAATAGAGAAAGGTTTTGCTGAACATTACACAAATTAATGTCAAACTGGGCCAAATCAGATGAATCACATCACAAACTTTGTCATTGTTGAATGAGGACTACAGGCAATGGCGGTCATGCTGACATGGTCGGATCTGTAGATTGTGTGTTGCCGAATGTGTCAGGATTAGGCCTCTCGCTAAGCCCCAGGGTATTCCGGAAGGGGATGGAATCGCCTCAGGATCACCTGTTAACAGACGGAATTCTCCCAGAAAAACCAGTTACCGAAAGGAATCGCGCTACAAATGTGGCTAGCAATTGATCAATGGCGGGGTTGCGAGGGGGAAGGGGGGGTGTTGGAGTGTGGGTGGGGGATGGGGGTTGGGGGGGTTGGGGGGGCGGGTGGTTGTTATACCCTACAGATTTCCCTGCAACAAGTATAGCCTGTACGGATTCGAAGAAAAGTTACTCGTTCGGCTAAGGAATCGCGCGAAATTGTTTCCGTAAGTTGGAAGGATTCGGAAAATAATCGTACTGTTAAAAAATGGAATCACTCGAAAAGTTACTATTAATTTCTCGTCATTAAGGCTAATTACCCTGTTAGCATGAGGCCTAGTCAGGATGACAAGACAGACAACACTGCACCGACAATGGGAAAGCGACAGAACAACAAATGCTGTGGAATGGCCAGTCTTTAGTTACTCGCGAGGTGGAGAAGCCGACACCACAAAAATGCTTACAGTTTGGAACTGTACACTGCTGCACATTGTGCATCTCGATGACGATCTCATTGTTCGGATTGGATTTGCAATATCTTATCAGCCTGTTCGATAGGTGCGTAGGGTATCGCACACACCATCAGCAGTTGCGCCTGACAAGCAAGCAGAACTTTGCCCATCCCAGACGGGTTGACGACCAGGGCTTAGTTTTTATTTGTGGTCACCTTGGGATATGGTGTTATGTTTTGTGTTGTACCTTTTCTTGATAATATACTACAAATCCGGCTTCATATGAGCTACCCTTAGATGTGAAGGGGCCAGCCAAGAAGTAAGCTTAAAGTGAGGGTCTCAAGAAGCGCGAAACCAAATCCAAAAGGTTTGGTTTTGGGTTGACGAAATGAGCGAAATTGTAGCAGCGCCCAACCAGCACCCCTCACCACACATCGCAATTTTCGAGACCCCCCGAAACCAAAACCTTTGGATTTGGTTTTCTGCTTCTTGAGACCCTCGCTTTAAAACCTGCGGCCCAAATTGTTCATAAGCATTGCGTATAAACTTTGAGCCTCGGCCTGAATGAAATACGCGGAGAAATCGTTAGGGTGTTTCATCTCGCGAATTCGTTATTTGTCGTGGACCGTCATATTTTCTTGCACATTGTGCGACGGCTGAGATTACATTTCGATTGACTGGGGGAAGCACTTTGTTTGTGCGCCGTAAGATGGAAATCCACAAAACATGGACGGCAAAAAAACGTGAGGCACTTGGTGTCCCAAAATACCTTGCGCATTGAACTTGAAAAACAACCCCGAGTGACACAAGTCACGTCACCCCCATCTACACCCACGAAAACGCGACTTTCAAACGCGGTGCGTTTGTGTTAGAATGCAGTAATGATTAGAAACAAGAGAGAACAAGGAAGATATAGGGTTGGAATTCTATCATGTAATAACACATGCATATCTAGCCTACAACTTCTACATACAAACATATGTATAAGTTGACACACCCCCTATGCTAGATAAGGGGTAGTGCTGAACAAGAAACGCGCAGCTCAGGGTGGCACTACTACTCCAACCTCTGAGGCAAGGGTCTGAAGACCAATCAGCATGAGTACAAACAAGACAAGAGCAAACCACGGCGTCACTACTAGTCCGGCCACAGGAAGAGAAGGCACAAGGCCAGTCTGGAAGGTACAAATATAAAGGAGTACACAATCAAGGGCCTAGCAAGTGAGAGTCTACAGGAACCAGACCAAGCTGCAAGCAGTGCCGCTTATGATCTTTAGGCACAAGTGCCTTAGTAAAGATATCAGCTGTGTAGGCACCTGAGGCCAAGTGTACTACGCGGGCCTAGCGACGCTGCTGTAGCTCACGCATGAAGAAGTACCGCAGTTGGATGTGCTTCGCTCTGCCCTCAAGTCATGGCTCCTGACACAAGAGGATTATGGCCCTGTTATCAGCGTACAGAACCAGGGTAGAGCTAGGCCGCTCACCTAAGTCGGCGAGCAAGAAGGTCAGCCAGCGGAGCTACTGTGCCGCCATGGCACCGGCGTAAATCTCAGCCTCACAGCTAGACTGGGCAATAGACGAGGAGCGTGTGGACCTCCACGAGATGGCACCCGAACCAAGGCTAAAGCGGTATCCCTGGGAGGACTTGAGGGTCTCAGCGTCGTCTGCCCAAGACGCGATGTGTGCCCTGTAAGGACTACTGGCCTGCGTCCTCCCAGCACTAGCCCCATGCCCGATGTACTCGCGAGATAACGCAAAACCCTCTTAGCGGGCGACCAGTGCTGTGGTCGGTGTATGTCTGTGACCACAAAGCGAGCCAGGATGCTGAGAGGGTATGCAAGATCAGGACGAGTGCAAATCATCAGGTACATGAGGCAAGTCAGCGACAGCAGCGACAAGAGTGTCAAGACTCGAGACAGGAACAGCGGGGTCAGTAACGAGGGAAGCAAGGAGCTGAGGAACAAGAGGAGGAGCGGCACGAAGGTAGTCAGACAGAGGGGGAGGCGCAACAACAAGCGACGATGGAGGAGGCGAAGGCAGGAAGGGAGGACGAGACGCGTGGGAACAGAGCAACATAGGGTGAGAACGTGGAGCAGGAGAGAGCGGACAAGCACATGAGGGACGGCGAGACCAGACGTGAGACGGAGGCGTCGGGTCAGGAGACAGAGGAGGAGTAACAGGAAGGGAACGAAATGGGAAACGGGCCGGGGACGAGTCCGGCGGAGGAAACACTGTGCCGTGGATAGGAAGAGGAGGAGGCGGCGGGGGAGGCGCATGTGAGCGGTCTGGGGAGGGAAGGACGAGCAGGCAAAGGGCGGACACCGGCGGCGACTACTGCTGCTGTTGCTGCTCTGCAGAGTTTTCTGCTATAACGGGAGCTTCTGCAGAAGTGCCTGATGTAGATAGAGCTCTCTAGCTCTGTGGTTCTCTAAGAAGAGAGTCGCCTTCAGAATTGTGTGTTTCACTGAGTGGCTTGAGAAAGCTTGGGCACACAAATTTACTAGAATCAAGATTACAAAGTATAGTACACAAGGCAAGCACTAGTATTGCCTCATTGAGCCTCATTGAACACAGAGAGAACGTTCGCATGAGGACGTTTACATAACTACTCTAAGCTGCTCTTAGCCAAGTCAGCAATGGCCGGTGAAAATTACAGCACATGCTTAGTTTGTGATTTTACCCACTCATAAGTAGTTGTTTTAACAGTTTCAGATATGAAACTATCAGATGTTATGCACATTTCCGCAGTTACGAAATGTGCGTCACGTGTTCAATTTCTCAATGTTGCAGGTAGATTTTGTCGTTTTCGGTCCAGATCGGTTCAGTGGTTAACTTGCAAATTCGCAAATTTCTCGTGATTTCGGAACGTACCTTCAGCAGAAAAATGAAGTCCCCGATTTTATGTTTAAGGGGTCGCTCGCAGAAGCGAAGTCCGAATTGACTCCTTCTGTTGAAAGTGGCATTACGAGAGTGAAAGAAGCGATGAGACGGCGGGTGGTAAAAGCGCCAGTCAGATGAGTCCAGAAGGAAACTGAGGACGACACGGGGGACAGTGCGGGCAATGAGCTTGTCCGTGCCAGAGGCATGAACGTGAGCGAGGCAGCCCCAGACGTGGAACGCGGACGCGTGACCAGGGAACCCGATCCAAAGAAGGGTCGGTGAAACCTACGGCCACTAGGAGCGTCGTCAGAGGTTAAGCTGGTGAGCGGCGTAGCGAACAGCGAACGTTAACAGAAAATGGGGTGCATCGGCATGGATCATGGAGGTACGAGCCACCTCTATGACCAAACCGATGCGTCACTTAATGACCTCGTTATGCTGCGGGGAGTCTGGTAGGGTGTACGACTGGGTGATGCCCTCCGCACGACAGAAATGTCCAAGCCGACCAGAGGCAAACTCGCCGCCATGGTCGGAGTAGAGACACACCACAGGGAGACCGCGGTGGAGGTGCACAGCTACGACTCACGGGATAAGAACGTCAGGCACGTCAGCCTTCCAATCCAAGGAAAACACCGTGGTGTAGCGCGTGTAGTCGTCAACGAGCACTAGAAAGTAGCGCTCGCGACGCGGTCCAGGGATGGGGGCTGGGCCCCAGACGTCCAGGTGCAGGGCCTGGAGGGGTGCGGTGGCAGGACGAAGTCAAGAGGAATGAGGAGCACGGCACAGCCAGCCCTTGACGCGGGGCGTGCACGGCAGTGCAAGCGAGGGAGGGAGGACAGGCAGAAACGCAGGGAGACCTAGGACGAGACTGTGCTGGGACATGTGATGCAAACGCGGGAGTGCGGGGTGACCTAGGCGGTGGGTGCCACAGGCGACGGGTGAGTGAGCGGGCAACAAGAGCACGCAGCGGCGACCTGAGTAGATGCAGGACCCGGGGTGGATGATCCACCCGGGGGGGAAGCAGTGTCCAGCGTAAAGAGGCTAGACACCGGTTTCTTGGGGAACGTTGCAAGGGGAGAACCTGAGGCGGCCTAGGTACACTCGGCGTACTGCACATGACCTGGAAACATAGTGGTGACGCCGAGGTCCTGAAGACAACCGACACCAACTAAGTTTCGGGAGAACGAATGTGCAGGCCTGTGACGGAACCCGAGGGAACCGTTGGACAGGGAAGGGTAGTGTAGCTGTGAGCAACTACAGGACCAGAGGAGGGATCAGCACGTGCGACGGCAGCAGGTGCGGCAAGCAATGTAAGCGCAGCGTGGTCGCGGAAGAATCAGGCAGACGCACCGGAGTCAAGAGAGAAGGGCAGCCAAGCGGTAGCGGCGGAAGAAGGAGGAGCAAGGGTAGAGCATAGGCTAGACAAAGCAAACGGTCCTACGCATGACGCAGCAGGGGAGTCTATACTACACACAGGTGCTACGCCAGGGTCATAAGATCCGGACACACTAGAAGCGTCAGCATACAGAGAATGCAGGGCATAACTAATATGATCCATGTCTAAGTCAAAAACTTGCACACCGTGGAGCAGCAAACTGGGCTAGTCAAGGAGGTCCAGGGACGGGCCAAAGCGGCGACGGAAGAGGTCGTCGAGGCGGCGCAAACAGCGGGCGGTCGGGTGCGGGCGGCGGCACACAGCGCCATGGAGGAGCCCGGTCTGGAGCTGGTACTGGCAGCCCACAGCATCGAAGCCGTCGGTAGACGCCAAGCTGCGAGGACCACCATCGCGACCACCACCTCCAGGGGCTCCTAGCCACCCCGGCGGGAGGCGGGCCCACGGCTGCTGCTGCTGCGACTGCTGGTGCTGCTGGTGCTGCTGCTGCGGCTACTGCTGTGTCTGCGGCTGCTGTGAGTGCGGCTGCTGCTGCTCCTGGACACTTGCCCCAGCCCCCTCGTCATAACCACTGTCTCCGCCACCACAACCTCCACCACCAGCACCACCACCACGCCCTCCCTTGGGGCTGCAGTGGCCCCGACGCTGTCCCTGCTGCTGCAGGAAGGCTGCTGCTGCGGTCTTAGTGGCAGGAGCAGCTTTAGCGACGGCGGCGGAAACGTCAGCGTACGTGCACTGGGATGGAGCACAACCCTGAAAGATAGGGACCGCTGCAACACCGCTTGACAGAGCGATAGTGCGCTGGCGAGTTTCTATCTCAGAAAGGGCAGTGAGAAAGGCGGCCAGGGTGAGGTCACCAGGGTGCTGGCTAAGGAAGTGGTCACGGGCAGTGGCTAAGCTGTCAAGCAGGTGCATGGCAGTAAGGTACAGGGTAGCGCAAAACAGCAGGGGGAAGGCAGTGAGCTGGGTGGTAGTGCTAGCAGCGCGGTAGCTAGTCTCTAGTGCACGGAGGTGAGTAGCGAGGTTAGCGACAGTGGGAAAAGCAGAAAGATCGGGGAATAGCACGGCGAGGATCAAGTGGCTAGCGGAGGCAGAGGCACGTGTGGAGTAGCGCGCTACTACGACATCTAGGAAATCCTTGGCGTTCGCGACAGCAGTGAAGCGCGGACGCTCAGACAGGGGAAGTGCATGACTAATGGCAAGCTGTGCTACAGCATCGTGAGAGTCCCAAACAGCACAAGCAAGCACAGCAGTAGCGAAGGCCTCACTCTCAGCAGTGGTGGGGTCAGCAGGGAGGGGATCAGGCGCGGAGGGGCGGGGAAGCAAGCCATCAACATGCATAGCCAGGGAGTGCCCATCCAGCGCTGACCTGTAAGGTGACGGCGGAGATCGACAAGCCAGGCGGCAAATCGATCGCGTGTCCCTCCGCGTCCAGGCGAAGCATAGCGTCCGCCATCGTGCAACCTCCACAGCACAGCGTCACGGCGGCACAGTGTCACGGAGGCATAGTGTCACGGTGGCACAGCGTCACAGCAGCATAGCGGCACGGCGACATAGCGGTAGGACTCCCCGGCGAGAAGACCGAGCGGAAGGCCGAGGAGGGGCCCAAGGCACGTGAGGGGCGAGCGGGCGTGGTAGGGACCGGCGCGCGCGAAGGGCCGACGAGCAAGTGAGGGGCCGGAGAGCACGGGAGGGGCTGGTGGGCGCGTGAAGGCCCGGCGTGCGCGAAGGGGCCGGCGAGCACGCGAAGGGCCAGCGGGCGCGTAAGGGGCCTGCGAGCGCGAAGGGCCGGAGAGGCGCGGAGTGGGCTAGGCGGGTGCGTGAGGGGTCGGGCAAGCGCGCGAGGGGCCGGCTAGGCGATAGGAGCCGGCGGTGCGCGAGAGGGGCCGGCTAGGCACGAGGGGCCGGCGGTGCGCGAGGGGCTGGCTAGGCGAGAGGGGCCGGCAAGACGCGCGGGGACAGCTCGGCGCGAGGGGTCGGCTAGGCAAGAGGGGCCGGCTAGGTGCGAGGGGCCGGCTGAGTGCGAGGGGCCGGCTAAGCGAAAGGAGGGGGGGGCTGGCGAGGTGCAAGGGGCCAGCTCAGCGTGAAGGGCCAGCACGGCACACTAGGGGCCGACTAGACGCGAGGGGCCGACGGGGCGCTAAGGGGCCGATACGGCGCATCAGGGACGGCGGGCACGCTAGGAGCCGGCGAGGTGCGTTAGGGGCCAGCGGGCGCTCTAGGGGCAAGCGAGGCGGAAGGCTAGGGCTAGGGGTGGAAGCAGGTGGGCGGACCTAACCTACTCATGATACCATGTTAGAATATAGTAATTATTCGAAAAAAGAGAGAACAAGGAAGATATAGGGTTGGAGTTGTACCCTGTAAGAACATACACCTATCTAGCATATAACTTCTATATACAAACATACCGTAATCCCCCGTATATAACACCCACCGAAATAGTCACTCCGTGGGTGGTTTATGCGGGGGAGAGCTTATGATAGGGTGCATTTAGGAGAGCACCCGCTTTTCGGGGGTTGCATTTTACATAACTTCCTGCTCGTTTTATGCAGCAAAGAACAATATTCCGTCGTTTTTCAAGCTCCTCTCGATTGAAAAAAATTGACCGTTGCGACTCTAAGAGTGGTAACCGAACAGACAAATCGAGGCGCTGTGCGACTCGATAAACTGTTTCTTCAACTGTATTCTACAACAGCTTCATCTCTTATTTTCTATATATTGCTGTATGCTTGTTTCTTTTAATCAATCACTTGCTCTCACATACTAGTGCAAGGGTTCAACTACTCAACACTTCCGCTGCACTACTCAAGCGTTTTGTGTAAGTGGGACTTAGTCTCTGAAAAGGTCCTAAGGCTTTTTCTCATCCCAACATGGTATGAGAGTTGGTCAGAGACCAGACTCCCATCGACAACATCCTATCTACAGTCAGCATATCAAAAGCTTCATCGATTACAAGACATGGACAACAAGGGCAAAAATTCTTCTACGGGCTCACCCAGCGCCCAAGCCACTCAACCCGGCACCTCTAGACTACAAACCGAGACCGGCGCTGCTCAAGAAACATCAAGAAGAGTACCAGGAATGGTGACCCCTTCACCCTCTTCAAGCGTGGACCCGAACCTTATGGAAAGGTTCTTCAGCTTCATGTCTCACTTTGAGCAGCAGCAGCAGACAGAGACACCTACGCATTCAACACAGAGTAACGGAGGAAATACGGGGTTAGCACTGATGAGCCTCGACAACTCATCATTCGGGCGGCACAACCAGGCGCCTACCTTTGCGCCTTATCACTCTTCACCAGGGACGTTTGAGTTCATGCCGCCCCGTGCTCAACCGACAGCAGCTGCATCACAACACACACCAAACGAAATATTAAGTCTCCAGGCACAGTTTTCACATGTGATCAAACTGCAGACATCTTCACCGTTCAACGGGCACGACTTCTTTACCTGGAGCTTTGAGTTCGAGCTGCTGATGGAGGCTGCGCACCTCTTGGGATACTTCAACAGGTCCCTGGCATTTCCAAGCAATGGCACTGCAGCAAGAGTAGGAAATCTTCACTTATCAGTCACTGTTGGCATACACAGTTCTCCTGCAAAACCTATCACCACAAGAGCAACAGGGCATCATAACGTATCGAAGCTACGGAAACTCCGCGGAGCTCTCCTGGCATCATCAGAAATGTCTCTATCAAGCAAACGACAGTGTGACACAAAGCAGACTCATGCAGCATTTCACAACAATACAAATGAAGACCGGGGAAAAGGCGATGCAGTATATGAGTCGCTGCCAGACCCTCCGCAACCGCCTGCTTCGGTGCGGAGGCACAATCACTGAAGAAAGCTTCGTGACACTTCTTCTCGCCGGGCTCGGACCACAATGGAGAACCACCCGCTCGCTTCTTTGCACCCACGGACGAATTTCCAAGATGCACCTCTACGCCGAGCTTCATGCTGAACAACAAAAGATGGACCTGTTTGAAGAACGACAACCACAAAACAAGCAGCAACCGTTAGTCTTCTACACTCAAAGAAACAACAACGACCGACACAACAACAGAGGCCTCACCATCGTGCCGCCGTTCTGCCACAACTGTCAGACATCCGGGCACTCCAAGGTCGACTGCACACGCCCTCGAGTTTCTCGTCCAGCAGACCCGCAAGCCACCTCCACTCAAGCAAATCCGCCAAGTCGTTCCTCTACACCTGCACAAGGCGCACCAAATATCATTAACTGCATGGTACGAAAACTTCTCGACATCCAGGACAAAAACACCGTGACCCCACGTATGCTGCAGTCACCGATGCCGAACCCAGCCGGCGAAACACCTGGTTTCTGGACAGTTGCTGTGGTCAACACATGTGTTCCTCGGGGCACTTCGTGCAACGAGAGCGACGCCTCAACCGCGACGTCGTCATCACCGTCGCCAACAATGAAAACCTGAAGACAAACAGACAAGGAGTCATTCAGCTTCAGTCAATGGAGACAAACGTCATACTGCAACTCAACAAAGTTCTCATTGTTGACAATTTGGGATACAACTTATTAAGTGTCAGCCAGTTAATGGCAAATTGAATTCACATGGAATGCGACTCGGACGTCAACGAGTTTCGCCTTTATCACAGGAAGGACAGCCTCTTCATCGGTCGCACTCTCCTGAAGTTGGGCGTCTTCGTGCTGGACTTCGTCCCCGACTGCGGTACTGCCGACAGCGAAGCCATCGTGTCGTTCGCCGCCTGGATGCACTCGCCCGATCTTGACCCCGACTTTAGTCCAGGCGGGTTCTGGTACTCCAACACCATCCTTGCAGCAGAAAGAACACGAGCATTAGCAGTCATTCGACAAGAACGACAAGTACCAGCAAGTATCACTTCCCCGACATCACCTGTAGTAGTAGCAGCAGGACCCAGCCGTGCGCCATCACCAGCGGTCCGAGGACCACCAACCGAAGCAGATCAGCTCATGCCCATCACCCGAGGAGTCTGCCAAAGTCCCGCTACGATCGTCGCGTTCTTCTCCAACGCCGACCTATACCGGCGTTCACCCGGCCATCGCGCTCCAGACGACATCTGGCATCAATGCTCGGACACCCTTCAAACAGCACAATTCTTAAAACCATACAAGCCGGAGTATTAGAAAAATTCGCTCTCCTTACAACGAGCGGCCATGAGCTTCGACGACCCCGCGCACGATGCTTCACGTGCCCCGAAGCTGATCTTCCCCATCAACCTTTCCCGTCGCACCACAATCCAAGCGCACCTGCATACGCACCGATGGAAAAAGTTTACAGCGATATTTTGAATATGCCTCGAGACGACAGTGAAGCAGAGTACAACTACGTTATCACGTTCATCGACGCAGCAATACGATATGTCTGGCACTTCAATCTCAAGACTCATGACCAAGCGTTCGAAGCCTTCACGACGTGGCTCCCCATCGCTGAACGAGAATCGGGCTCCCAACTCAAGAGTTTCCAGTCAGACGGGGCACTGGAGTATCAGTCACAAAGGTTCAGGAGCTACTTGGCGGAAAGAGGCATCAAACGCCTGGTGTCCCTGCCCTACGCTCACCAGTAGCAGGGGGTCGTAGAAAGAATGAATCGCACCTTGCAGACGACGATGCAGAAGCTGCTATTGGGGATGGGACTGCCCAACACCCTTTGGCCTGACGCGATAACGCATGCAGTCCATCTCCACAACCTGCTGTCCTCGTCAACACTTCCCAACAGCACATTACCGCACCTGCTGTGGACAGGAAAACAGGGCAGCACAAAATTACTTCGAGTTTTCGGCTGCATGGTACAGTACAGACCCCACACAGCTCGAGCAGGATGATTCTCTCAACGAGCACGGTGAGGACTACACCTCGGGATCGGAAACTTCTCGACATCCAGGACAAAAACACCGTGGCCTCACGTGATGTGATTTTCTACGAGAGACTGAAGTTGTAGCATTACCTGGACAACATCGCCAACACCGCAGACCCCACCGACGGCTTCGAGGGCCATCGGTCCTTCGCCGACCATGCTGCCGAAGCTGACGCAGCAGAAGAAGACGTACCTGAAGCCTCGGAAGCTGTCGGACCACTCCCTTACTGCTCCGTGCCCGTTCCACTCGACGACGACAACCCTCTCGATAGTAACAACCTCGACACCTACTACCACTTCGCTGACCAGGGCTACACTACACCTCAAACGGTTGACACAAATGTCTCTGAACGCATCGGACCAAAGTTTTTTACCTGACCCAGAAGATGGTGACGAAGCAGCTTATCCCGGGAATGAAAATTCCCCTCGACACACACCCACGGGCCTGCAGATACTTGGACTATGGGTCGCCGTCCAGAGCCCGCCGCCACCGTCGCCGCGCGAGCCAACGACTCTGTCGCAGGCTCTGGGGGGGGAACATAAGGCGAAATGGAAGGGAGCAATGGAAAAAGAATTGAAGGCCCTGCAAGACCGAAACACGTGGAAACTAGTACCTGCAACAAAGACCAAAGGGAAGAATGTGCTATCGGGAAAGTGGTTGTACCGAATCAAGACTAATGCGGATGGCTCCATCGACAGCTTCAAGGCTTGCTGGGTCGTACGTGGATTCGATCAGCGATATGGAACCGACTACACGGAGACATTCGCCCCAGTCTCCCGACATACCTCCCTCCGCATTCTGCTCGCCGTCGCGGCCTCGAAAAAGTTACCACTACGGGCTACATCTACCGACTCGATCCTATCGGGACTATTTCCTGGCAGTCGAGCAAGCAGGAACTAATCGCACGATCTTCGGCTGAAGCGAAATACATCGCTCTCTGCACTGCGACCAAAGAGGGACTTTACCTGCGGGAGCTGCTCGAGGAAGCGAAAATTGCGACCATGCCCGCCTTCTCGTTATTCTGTGACAATCAATCCGCGATCAAAATCGCGAACAAAAACGGGTTTGCCAATCGGACCAAACACATCGCCCTACGGTATTTCTTCGTCAAGGATGAGATCGCAAAGGGGAGACTTCAACTCAGTTACTGCCCCACGACAGAAATGGCTCCAGATTACCTGACAAAGAAACTGGCGAAGGCAAAGTTCAATTACTGCATGCTGCTGACCGGGCAGATAAACGTCACCGAATCCGAACACGTCAGCACTCCAGAAACAAAGGGGAGTGTTGGAAATACCTCGAAGACTTAGCGTTTCTGAAGTGTAACACTACACTCGAGGAAAGTCGTATCGGGTACGTGAGTCAACGGAGGTTACACGAGGAGGTTGGACGAAAGAATACGAAAGGGCAAAGGGACTCGAAGGGTCGCAACCGGAGGTTGCGATTGACCGTTGCGACTGCAAGAGTGGTAACCGAACAGACAAGAGTGTGCGACTCGATAAATTGTTCCTTCAACTGTATTCTACAAATGCTTCATCTCTTATTTTCTATATATTGTTGTATGCTTGTTTATTTTAATCAATCACTTGCTCTCACATACTAGTGCAAGGGTTCAACTATTCAACACTTCCGCTGCACTATTCAAGCGTTTTGTATAAGTGGGACTTAGTCTTTGAAAAGGTCCTAAGGCCTTTTCTCAGCCCAACAATATACACCATAGGGTGTTATATACGGGGGATTACGGTATGTAGAAGTTGATCGTTTGAAGGCCGCGCCTCGTAATTTGGGCCACGGGTTTGAAGTAGGAAATAAGATATCTAGGTGAGGATAGATTCCATCACACCCTGGCTACTTTTCTAGTGCATTTGGGGAGCAGAGCCATTACTCCTAGTCTATAGACCTCATCTACGAATCTAAAGTTAGAGGGGAGGGAGCCAAATGGCTCTACGTGCTAGTTGTCAAATGTAACTTAGGTCGTTACTGTAGACTATACTGGATTGTGCCTTAGAGGGTACAACACCCTAGTCTATATACCCTTGTACTCACACATTCTAATATATTATTCTTTCAAATATGGTATCATAGTAGGTTAGGTTCCCCCCCTAGCCCACCCACGCTTCCACCCCCTAGGCCCTAGCCACCATCGTGCCCCGCTCTTAGCTGGCCCTCCTGGCCGTCGCGCTCGTCCCTAGCCGCCCCCCTGGCCGTCGCACCCGCCCCTAGCCGGCCCCCTGGCCGTCGCGTCCGTCCCTGGCCGGCCCCCTGGCCGTTGCGTCCGCCCCTCCTAGCCGGCCCCTTGGCCATCGCGTCCGCCCCTAGCCGGCCCCCTGGCCGTCGCGCCCGTCCCTAGACGGCCCCCTGGCCGTCGCGTCCGCCCCTAGCCGGCCCCCTGGCCGTCGCGCCCGTCCCTAGCCGGCCCCCTGGCCGTCGCGTCCGCCCCTAGCCAGCCCCCTGGCCGTCGCATCCGCCCCTAGCCGGCTCCCTAGCCGTCGCGCCCGTCCCTAGCCAGCCCCCTGGCCGTCGCGCTCGTCCCTAGCCGGCCCCCTAGCCGTCGCGCTCATCCCTAGCCGGCCTCCTGGCCGGCGCGCTCGTCCCAAGCCGCCCCCTCCCCCCCCCCCCCTGGCTGTCGCGCCCGTTTCCTGCCGTCCCACGGCCGCCCCTAGCCACCTTACGGCCGCCCCCTCGCCGTCGCGGCCGCCCCTAGCTGCTGTCGCTGCAGTCTCCAGCCGCCTCACGATCACTCCTGCCATCGCGGCCGCCCCTAGCCGCCGTCACGGCTGTCCCTGGCCGCCGTCGCAGCCGTGTCTCCTCGCCGTCGTGGCTGGCCCTCCTCGCTGGCCCCCGTTGCCGCCGTTTGCTGGCCCCTTGCGTCTGCCGTCCGCCGGCCGGCTCCTGTATTTGCGTCGTCGCCAACCCGCCGCCGCCTCGGGTTCGGCCCGTTCCTCCCGATTAGCACTGCCCTGCGAACCCCCCGGTACCGTACTAGACCTCCTTGCACCGCACTGCACCGCGCTGTACCGCACTGCACCGCACTGTACCGCACTGTACCGCGCTGCAACGCACTGCATCGCACCGCACCGCACTGTACTGCTCTCCATCGCCCTCTATTGTCACTGATGGCGGAGGTGCTTCGCTTTGATGCTGAGGGCCAGCTGATTGAGTTTGATGCGTGGCTTGCTGACCTCCGTCGCCACCTCACTGGTCAGCGGCCGGATGGCCACTCGCTGTCTGTCCATCTTGACGGTACTCTCCCCTGCCCTGACCCCCCCGCTGCACTGTCTACTGATCCCTCATCCGCTGAGCGTGAGTCCGCTGCGGCCGCTGCCCTTGCTCACTCTGTCTGGCTGTCCCGTAACGCTGTCGCACAGCTTGTCATTAGCAATGCCCTCCCCCTGTCCGAGCGACCTCGCTTCAGGTCTATCACCACTGTCCAGGCTTTCCTAGATGCTGTTGTCCAGTGCTATTCCACCCCGCCTGCTGCCTCGGTCGGTCGTCTGATCCTCCCCATGCTCTTCCCTGACCTTGCGTCGTTCCCCACTGTCGCCGACCTGGCCGCTCACCTGCGCACAATAGACGAGACTTGGCGTGCTGCCTGCACTCCCACACAGCTTCTAACCCACCAGCCGCCCCTCACCTCTACTCTCTACCTGCTAGCCACCCACCTCCCTGACCGTCTTGCCACTGCCCATGACCACTTCCTTAGCGTCCACCCCGCATACCTCACCCTCACTAACTTTGTTGACACCCTGTCCGCTATAGAGGCCCGCCACCACTCTATCGCTCAGAGCAGTGGTACTGTGCCGGTCCCTATCTTTCAAGGCTGCGCCCCCGCTCAGTGCACCTTCTCTGACAGTTCTGTTGCTGTGGCTGAGACTGCCGCTGCAGCACAGGTCCGTCCGGGGAAGGGTCGCCGCCCCAAGGCTGGACGTGGCGGCGGGGGTGGGGGTGCAGGTGTAGGTGGTGCTGGAGCTGGGTCTCCTGGTGGTGGTGCTGACGAGGGGACCCTGCTAGGTGCAGCCGAGCAACCGTCTCAGCAGCCGCCGGCGTTGCAGCCGGACTCGCGTCAGCCGCAGCAGTCGCAACAGCCGCAGCAGTTGCAGCCGCAGCAGAGACGGGCGAGTGGTCTCCCGCCCGGGTAGCCTGGCGCTGGTGGTAGCGCTGGACGTGGTGGTGGTGCGCGTGGTGGGCTGCTGGGTGGTGGTTTGGGTAACGCGCGCTGTCAGTACCTGCTCCAGACCGGTCCTCGCCGTGGCTTCGTTTGCGGTACGATCGGTCACACCTCCGTCCGCTGTTTCCGTCACCTGGACAACCTGTTTCGTCAGCGTTTCGGCCCGTCGCCCGAACTCCCAGACTGGCACAGTTTGCTTCATCGTAGGGTTCAGATTTTTCATCTAGATATGGATGAGATTGTTACTGCTCTGCATGTGATGTATGCTGATGACTCTAGTGTGCTTCCGTCTTATTACCCCTTGTTGCCTAGTGTAGGTGTGCCTTCCTTAGACTCCCCTGCTGCGTCAGGCATAGGATCCCCTGCTTTGTTTAGCCTTGGTGCTTCCGTCGCTGCTTCGCCTCCGGCCGCCACTGCCGCGCTCTCCTTCACCCTCGACTCTAGCGCTTCCCGGTGCTTCTTCCGCGACTCCACCACGTTGACACCGCTTCCTGTCCCTGCCGCAATCTCTCTTGCTGACCCCTCCTCCGGCCCAGTAGTCGCCCGCAGTTCCACCACCCTCCTCTGCCCGGCGGTTCCTTTGGGCTCACTCACAGGACTTCACATCCCCTCATTCTCCAGGAACCTAGTTGGTTTCGGCTGCCTTCAGGACCTTGGCGTCACCACTACGTTCCCTGGACACGAGTGGTACGCTGTCTGTACCGAGGCCGCCACTGGTGCCCCCCTGTCCACGTTCCCACGGGACCCGGTGTCCGGACTTTTCACACTGGACACGGTGACCCCCCCGGCTGGGACCCCCCCTCAGGTGACTGCGTCTCCCCCGGTTGCTGCTGCCTGCTCCTGTCGGTCTCTCACTCACCCGACTCTTCTCTGGCACCACCGCCTAGGTCACCCTGCGCTCCCGCGTTTGCGTCACATGTCACAGCACGGTCTCGTCCTAGGCCTCCCCGGGTCGTTCCCCGAGTTTCCCTCCTCCCCAGCCCCACCTTGCACGCCCTGTGTCGAGGGCCGGCTCCGCCATGCCCCTCACTCCTCCTCGTTTCCCCCTATTGCAGCACCGCTACAGACTCTGCACATGGACGTCTGGGGCCCCGCCCCCGTCCATGGGCCGCGTCGAGAGCGCTACTTCCTAGTGCTTGTCGACGACTACACACGCTACACCACTGTGTTCCCCCTGGAGCGGAAGGCCGACGTGCCTGACGTTCTTATCCCGTGGCTTGTCGCTGCGCGTGTCCGTCGCGGTCTCCCTGTCTTGCGCCTCCACTCCGATCGTGGTGGCGAGTTTGCCTCTGGTGTCCTTGGTCGTGTTTGTCGTGCGGAGGGCATCACCCAGACGTTTACCTTGCCGGACTCCCCGCAACAGAATGGGGTCGCTGAGCGACGCATCGGTTTGGTCATGGAGGTGGCTCGCACCTCCATGATCCATGCCGGTGCACCCCATTTTCTGTGGCCGTTCGCCGTTCGCTACGCCGCTCACCAGCTTAACCTGTGGCCGCACCCCCAACAGCCTCAGGTTTCGCCGACCCTCCTTTGGTCTGGGTCACCTGGTGACGCGTCTGCGTTCCACGTCTGGGGCTGTCTTGCTCACGTTCGTGCCTCTGGCACGGACAAGCTCACTGCCCGGACCCTTCCCTGTGTCCTCCTCGGCTTCCCCCTTGACGCGTCTGACTGGCACTTCTACCACCCGCCGTCTCACAGGTTCTTTCACTCCCGTGACGTCACCTTTGATGAGTCTGTCTCCTTCTTCTGCCGCTTCCCCCATCGAGGTCCCCCGATTACCCCCCCCTGTTCCTGGTCACCCCTTCCTCGGTCGTCGCCGCCCCTCCTCCTCCCCCTCCCCGTCCTGCCCCTTCTGGTGTGTCCCACGTCACCCCACTTACGTCGGTTGTACCGGTTGAGGAGTCTACTGACTCTGGTAGTCCTGCGGCGCAGTCCTCGCCGCCTGCCCCTTCTCAGGTGTCCCCTCCTCCGCCGCCTCCGCAGCCGCAGTCGCCACCACTGTCGCAGCCGTCGTCACCGCCGCCGCCGTCGCCGCAGCCGTCGTTGCGACCGCCGCCGCCGCAGCTGTCGCCGCAGCAGTTGGTTGCCTCTGGGGGTGCTGGAGTTGGGGTGGGTACTAGTCTTGGGACTCCTGTCGTGGCTTGTACCGGCGGTCCTGGGGGTGGTACCGGTGCTCGAGGGGTTCTGAGCTCTGGGGGTGTTTCTTCTGGGGGTGCTGGTGTGGAGTGTTCTGGAGGTAGCCGCCCGGCAGCTTGCGGTCCCGGTGTCGGCGTCACACCGCCGTCACAGCAGTCCCCGCCGGTGTCTGCTCTTCGCCCCCTGACCCCGTGCCCGTGCCTCCTCCTCCTCCTCCTGTCTCCGGCCCTGTGTTCCCACCTCCAGACGTGTCTCCGGCCTTTTTCCCCCCTCGTTCCCCTCCTGTGTCCCCTCCTCTGTCTCCTGACCCGATTCCCCCGTCTCACGTCTGGTCTCGCCGTCCCTCCCGTGCTCGACCTGTCCCCCCTTTCTCGCGCTCTCACCCTATGTTGCTTCGTTCCCACGCGTCTCGTCCTCCCCTTCTCCCGTCGCCCCCTCCATCCTCCCTTGTCGTTGCTCCCCCCTCTCTGTCTGACTACCTGCGTGCTGCTCGTCTATTCCGGTTTCGAGCCTTGACGCCCTTGTCGTTGCGGTCGCTGACTTCGCCTCTACCCACCGCCTTGACTACTCCACCGCTCTGGTCTCTGACCCTGCCTGTCCTCCGTCTATCGGGGGTGCTCCTGCCCTCGGCAGTGACGCCCTGGAGGACCGCCAGTACGAGCTTGCTTTTCTGTCCGAGGCTGCTCCCCATCTCTGCTCTATGCTTCTAGTCCCTAAGGGTGACCCCGACGCTTTCGACATCCCGACCCCTCGCACTTACGCTGAGGTGGTCTCGGGACCCTGGGCAGTGGATAGCTGCCATGGAGCAGGAGATGGCATATTGGAGATCCACCGGCACCTACGTCGACGCAGTGGGGTGAACGTAGTCGATGGCCGCTGGCTCTTCAAGGTGAAGCGCCCTCCTGGAGAGCTGCCTGTGTTCAAGGCGCGCTACGTGGCTAGAGGTTTCAGTCAGCGTGAAGGGGTGGACTTCTTCCAGACCTTCGCTCTGACCTCGAATATGACTACTCTTCGGGTGCTGCTACACGTAGCAGCTCATCGTGACTACGAGCTTCACTCCCTTGACTTCTCCACTGCGTTTCTTCAGGGCAGTCTACACGAGCAGGTCTACCTGCACCGCCCTCAGGGCTTCACTGGTACCCTCCCTCCTGGGACCCAGTGGCTCCTGCGGCGCCCCGTCTACGGCCTGCTGCACGCTCCGCGTGAGTGGCACGACATGGTGCGTGCTACGCTTGCTGACCTGCAATTTTTTCCGTCCTCTGCAGACCCCTCGCTCTTCGTTCATGCTGGCCAGACCCCATTCTACATCCTTGTTTACGTAGACGACCTGGTCTTCGCCACGGCAGACAGGGACGCACTGGCCTCCGTGAAGGCAGAGCTGCTGAAGAGACACACTTGCACTGACCTTGGAGAACTGTGCCACTACCTTGGCTTGTAGATCTCCAGGGACAGAGCATCGCGCACCATCACTTTGACTCAGTCACACTTGGTGCGCCAGGTCCTTCAGAGGTTTGGCCTTCAGTTCTCCTCCGCACAGCCCACTCCTCTGCCTCTAGACCACAGGCTCTCCGCTCCAGTTCCTGAGGAGTCAGCAGAGCCCAGTGGTCCTTACGCAGAGCTGGTGGGTTGCCTCATGTACCTGATGACTTGCACTCGCCCAGATCTCGCATACCCTCTCAGCATCCTGGCTCGCTTTGTGGCTACAGGCAGACACCGACCTCAGCACTGGTCTGCCGATAAGAGGGTTTTGCGTTATCTTGCAAGTACATCGGGCATGGGGTTAGTGCTAGGAGGACGCAAGCCAGTGGTCCTTACTGGACACACAAACGCTTCTTGGGCGGACGACGCCGAGACCCTCAGGTCTATAGTATAGACTATACTGGATTGTGCCTTAGAGGGTACAACACCCTAGTCTATATACCCTTGTACTCACACATTCTAATTTATTGTTCTTTCTGATACTGGTGTGGGTCCATCCATACTGACCTTGTTCGACCTCCTTGGCCTTTCATGGAGAACCTGAAAGACCGGTTCGTTGTTTTCCCCTTACTGCCGCCGTTCCTTCTCTCTTCAGACCCGGCCAGCCATTCTGTTTCAGCACCGTTCACCACGGCAAGCAAGGTTGGATAACAATGGAAGTCCTCAGAAACGATAAAAGGGCCTGCATTCTGAAGCACTAGGCCCATAACATTAAGCAGCGCTTTCTTTCATTTCTAGCATCAACTGGCCCAGCACCTGCTGAAGGTCTTTGAGCCGTATTGGCTTGGCCAGGAAGCCATCCATCCCCACACTAACGCACTTGTCCCTCTCGTGCTTCAGCACACTCGCTGTCAGCGCGTATATGACTGACCGCTTCCTCCGGTGCCGCGGCTTCTCCTGCTCCGACTTGTGCTCTTCTTCCAGACACTCGCCAGATGTTGGTTTCTCCCCACCAGCAGCAGCAGCGACATCAGCACTGGCACTAGCACCAGCAGCACCAGCACCAGCAACATCAGCATTGGCACTAGCACCAGCAGCATAGGCAGCACTGGCAGCAGCAGCAGCAGGAGCATCACAGTTGTCCGGGTGGTCCGACTGCAGCTTGCGGATTCTCTCAGTGGCTTCGAAGCCGTCCATCACAGGCATGTGGCAGTCCTGCCCGCCACACGGGAGGCAGAGGCAGAGTAGCAGACAGAACGTGAGCTAAAGGGCCGAGTGACTAGCCTTTTCTTCCCTGCAATGATACGAGTGGTGGCGTCAAGCCTTGACTCGCCCCGAGCACTCGCCCCGAGAAATCACCCCAAACCCGACCACTCACCAAAAAGACGATGCCATAGCTGCACCGCGCACACACCTCACATGGCGCCTCACATGGCGACTCGCATGGCGCCTCACATGGCGACTCTCATGCTGCCCTCACCACTGAAACTCGTCATGACGACTCACACGAGGACTCGCCTTGAGACTCACCCCCAGCACCCACCCCCAGCACCCACCCCCAGCACTGACCATGAAGATGATGTCGTAGCAGCAGCACCTGCATGCCTCCACAGCCTTGCAGCCGTCCTCCGCCACGTCGCAGGCCACCTTGAGGCTCCTGAGCAGGCGCACCACCACCATGCGGTTCACCGGGTTGTCCTCCACCACCAGGCATCGCAGCCCCTCAAAGCTCGTCGGGCCAGCACCTGCCCCACTCCTGCCCCCTCCACCCATCCCTTCCTCCACCCCCGGGCACCGCAGCGCTGCGAACCCTCCCTCCTCCTGCCCCTCCCCCCCCTCTCCCCCCCACTCCTTCCTCTCCTCACTCCTCACTTCCGCTCCGTTCACCATGCCCTTCCCCCGTCTTCCCCCTTCCGGCAGAGCGGCTTCTTTGCCTCCCTTGACTCCACACCCCCCCTCTGCTCTTGGTGCCGCCTCCAATTCGATCCCTGCCTTCTCACTGCCTGCCTGCTGCCGCCTGCATGCCACTCCCTTGCCCCTGTCTCCCTCGTGCCCCACAACCCTCTCCTCCTCCTCCTCCTCCTCCTCCTCCCCCTCATCCTCCTCCTCATCCCCCTCGTCCTCCCCATCATCCTTCCATCTCTCCTCCCCCCCTTCCCCCCCCTCCTCCCGCTCCCCCCCACCACCACCCCGCCCATCCCCCTCGCTCTCTGCCACATAACCCTTCGGACATTTGTCCTCACCCACCCGCTCTGCCCCCTCCTCCTCTTCTCCCTCCCCCCTCTCCCTAAGTCTCTTCACCCTCTCTCCTTCCGTTATCTTCTTCACCCTCTCTCCATCTCCCCTTCTCTTCTCTCTCCCCACCCCCATCTCTCCCACACCTGCTGCTGCCTTATAAGTACCTCCCGACTCATAGCCTACCCCTCTGCTGCCTATGCCCAAGCAAGCCCCCCCTTCCCCCATTTCCACGTCCCTTGCCCCTTCCCCCCCTCTCATACCAATCGCACCCCCCCCTACTGCCATCCCCAAGGTTCCTTCACACCCCTCCCCCCAACCACTCCCTCCCTCTCTCCTCTCCTCGCTCACTCCCTCTCCCTCCCTCACTGCCCCTCCTCCCCCTATACCCCCCAAGCCCTCCCCCATCCCCCGCTTCCCCACCACAGTCCCCCCTTCGCTCCCATGCCTCGCCACCAACAACCCCAAACCGTTTTGAGCCACCTCAAACCGAGTCCCCCCAATCAACTCACCGCCCAAACCACCTCTCAAACTGTCCATCTCGCCTTCCCCCCAATTTCTCCACCTCCCCTCCATCTCCCCTCCCCCACCATCTCCCCACACCCCCTCTCCACCCATGCCCCCCTGCACCCCTACCAGCACAGGCGGCTGCTGCTCCTCCTCCGCGTTCTCCTGAGGCTGCACGTGCCAGAAGGGGGGCAGGCAGGAGAGGGGGCTCGGGTACCGAACCGCAGGCGGAGGCGAGGGAGAGGCTCGGTGCCGAGGCGAGACTGATGCTGGGTGGAGCGGTGAGGCAGAGGTTTGGAAGTGCCTCAGGGCTTCGGTGAGCTCGTTTGCTTGCTCCTGCTCTCTCCCTCTCCCCTCTTCCGCCCCTCTCCCTGCCTCCTCTCTGGCTCGGTGTCTGGATGCTGCTGCTGCTCCTGCTGCTGCTTCTGCTGCTGCGCTTCCTCCCATCCCCCCCACTCTTCCCATTCCTCCTCCCATTTCTCCTAACATTCCTCCTCCTGTTGCTGCTGCCGTTGCCTCTGCAGCTGCTGCCGCCTCTGCTGCTGCTACCGATGCTGCCGAAACACCACTCCTACCTCCCACCTTCTGCCCTTCCCCATCTCCTCTCGCCCCATCTCCCCTCCCGGACACCTCCCACGCCATCCCTTCCTCCCTATCCCCCCACCCCCACTCAACCCCCCTCTCCCCCTCCCTCCTCATATGGGCATCCCACGTCCGGGAGGGGGTGAAGGGCAGGGAGAGGGAGAAGGTGGAGCCTTGGTGGGGCGTGGAGGCGACGGAGATGCAGCCCCCCATGAGCGACGCCAGCGAGCGGCAGATGGACAGACCCAGGCCCGTGCCGCCGTGCTTGCGGCACGACGAGTCGTCCACCTGCCGGAAGGGGGTGAACAGGCGCGCTAGGACCTCCTGGGAGATGCCCACACCCGTGTCCGCCACGTCGATGCGCACCCACACTTTCCCCTTCTCCTCCCCTGCTGCTGCTCCCACAGTAAGGGCTGGAACTGCAGCATCCGCAGCAGCACTGGCAGCGTGGTCGGCAGCAGTGGCGGCAGTTTGGTCGGCAGCAGGGTCGGCAGCCGCAGCAACTGCTGTGTGGACAGCAGCGTTGGCCTCCGCTGAAACAGCAGCACACATGGTATCGCAGGCATGAGCACACACGCCAGCACCAGCACCAGCACCAGCAACAGTGGCACCAGCACCAGCACCAGCACCAGCACCAGCACCAGCACCAGCACCAGCACCAGCACCAGCAACAGCAACAGTACCAGAAACAGTAGGATTAGCGCTAGAAACCACAGTATTACCGCTGCCGCTGCTGCTCTCCAACCTAGCACGCTTGGCAGGGGGGGGAGAGGGACTGGTGCAAAGAGCGGAAGCGGAGACATGGACATGAGGTGGGGAAGGAAGTGTACCAGTATGGGGAGAGGGTTCCTCTGCTGGCGCATACTTCCGCCCCTCACCCTCAGCTGATGCCACCTCCCTCCCCTCCTGCTCTGCTCCCTGCCCTTCCCTCACATCCCCAGCGTCTGCAGCACAGCCCCCTGCCTCCCCCGCTGCCCGCTCCCCTGCCTCCTGCCCCTCATGAGAAACGCGTGTGTTGCTCAATCCCCCATGCCCATGCGTGTCGCTACGGCTCCCATGCCCATGCGCGTGGTCTAGAATCTGGTTGCCTGGCGCTGCCTCCGCCAGCAGCTCTTGACTAGTGCTCGGGTCTGAGGGCACGCCGTGCGACGCGGGAGGGACGACGGGAGGGACGGCATAGGGGAAAGAGGGAGTGAGGTGAAGAGAGAGAGAGAGAGAGAGAGCAGGTGTGGAGAGAGGGGAGAGGAGAACGAGGAGTGAGATGGGGAGAGGGAAGCGCAAGACACATGGCGGGGAAGGGGGTGAAAGAATGTTGCGAGCTGTTTAGCTCACCTAATGGTGGTGGCTGACATAGTGACACTCGAACGCGCACCTCACCCCTGGCAGAGGGGGAGAAGAAAGGGGCAGAAACAAAGGCAACGATCATACAAAGCTGGCGCAACGATGGCAAGCACTGTGCACTGCTCACCAACCCAACCCAACCCAGACACCCTCCCCCGCTCTCCCACGCATGCACTCAGAGCCACTCACCTGTCAGTGAAGTTGGTAGCGTTGCAGAGCAGGCTGAGCACAGTGACCTGCTCAACCCCCCACCCCCCTCTCCCCAGACGCCCTCCCCCCCCCATGCACGCACTCAAAGCTACTCACCTCTCAGTGAAGTTGATGGCGTTGCAGAGCAGGCTGAGCACTGCGCACCAGTCACCTCACGTCCCACCCACCCATCCATCCACCCACCCATCCACCCACCCACCCATCCACCCACCCACCCACCCACCCATCCATCCACCCACCCACCCATCCACCCACCCATCCACCCACCCATCCACATTCGCACGTTCTCCCCCCCACACACCTGTCGGTGAACTTGATGGCGTTGGAGAGCAGGTTGAGCAGGATCTGCCGCACTCTGAACTGGTCCCCAATCACCATCATCGGCAGCTGCGGGCAAATACTCGCCGCCAGCCCCAGCTTCTTGCTGTCGGCCGCCCCGCGAATCGCGCTGAGCGCCTGCTCTACAGTCACGCGGAGGTTGAAGGGGTAGGCGTCCACCACGAGGGATTGGGCCTCGATCTTGGTGATGTCGAGGACGTCGGAGATGATGTGGGTGAGGGCGTTGCCGGAGGAGCAGATGACGTCCACGTACATGCGCTGCTCGTCCGTCAGCGCCGTGCGCAGCAGCAGCTCGGCCACGCCGATGACGCCGTTCATGGGCGTGCGCAGCTCGTGGCTCATATTCGCCAGGAACCGGTTCTTCGCCTCGTTGGCTGCCTCCGCGGCTTCTTTAGCTGCCTTTAACTCCTCCTCCTTCCGCTTCATCTCGGAGAGGTCGTGCCAGATGGAGAGAAGGTACTTCTCCCCGTCGATCACTATCTCCTGCGAGGGATTGAGGAAGGGAGAGTGTGTGTGTGAGAGCAAGCGAGTGAGTGAGTGTGTGTGTGCGTGCGCATGCAAGAGACCCTAGCTGATGAAACCCTAGCTAAAGAGACCCTAGCTGAAGAGACGAGACCCCAGGTGATGAAACGCCTGAAAGCCACGCTTACTCTGCCCGTAACCGCGTGACCAGCACGCACTCACCCGGACTCTCACGAGCATGATGAAGGACTCTCTGTCGGACGCCAGCGTCGGCCACTCCAAGTTCACGAGCTCGCCCTGCAGCATGCGCGCATGATTATCTATCTGCACCTCCACCCAATAGCCACACACCTACCAGGTGCACCTACACGGGCTGTGGTCCTCTGGCACACACCTACCAGGTGCACCTACACGGGCTGTGGTCATCTGGCACACACCTACCAGGTGCACCTACACGGGCTGTGGTCATCTGGCACACACATACCAGGTGCACCTACACGGGCTGTGGTCATCTGGCACACACCTACCAGGTGCACCTACACGGGCTGTGGTCATCTGGCAGTCCTGAGCCCACTCACCCGGACAGTCACGAACACCATGAAGGGCTCTCCATCGGACGCCAGCGTCTGCCACTCGAAGATGACCACTTCGCCCTTGAGCATCCTCGCATGGTTCTCCAGTTGCACGTCCACGGAGCGCCGGCCGTCGGGCTGGAACTCGGGCGAGAGCTGCATGAGGTCGAAGCGCGCCATCATCTCGGCGCGGTCGCGGTACTTCATGCAGCGCACCGCAGCTGAGTTGCAATCCACCAGCTTGAAGTCACGAGACACGGTGAAGATGGGGTCCTGGCGACGGGGAGAGGGGCAGGGAGGAGATCGTTCAGCTCAGCCTGTCCAGAAGCCACCTTGCCGCATCTCGGCACGGTCGCGGTACTTAAGTTTTGAGGCGCCTCAAAACTAATCTCAGCGCGGTTGCGGTACGTCATGTAGCAGACGGCCACCCGGTTGCAATCGACCAGCTTAAAGTCGCGCGACACAATGAAGATAGGGTCCTAGTGAGCACCACAGGGGGGGGGTTAGCGGGGGTTAGGGAGGGGTAGGGGGGGGTAGTGGGGGGGTAAGCGGGGGTAAGGGGAGAAGGGGGGGGTTAGGTAGGGATCACGGTCTAGAGTTACGGGTCCTTGTTCCGCAACCAGCCCCGTCACCACATGCAACCAGCCCCGTCGCCACAAGCAACCAGCCCCGTCGCCACATGCAACCAGCCCCGTCGCCACAAGCAACCAGCCCCGTCGCCACATGCAACCAGCCCCGTCGCCACATGCAACCAGCCCCGTCGCCACATGCAACCAGCCCCGTCGCCACATGCAACCAGCCCCGTCGCCACATGCAACCAGCCCCGTCGCCACATGCAACCAGCCCAGTCGCCACATGCAACCAGCCCAGTCGCCACATGCAACCAGCCCCGTCGCCACATGCAACCAGCCCAGTCGCCACATGCAACCAGCCCAGTCGCCACATGCAACCAGCCCCGTCGCCACATGCAACCAGCCCAGTCGCCACATGCAACCAGCCCAGTCGGCACATGCAACCAGCCCAGTCGCCACATGTAAGCAGCCCAGTCGCCACATGCAACCAGCCCCGTCGCCACATGCAACCAGCCCAGTCGCCACATGCAAGCAGCCCGCTTAGCTGTCCACGCAACCATGGACGCTTCACTGCAAAAGACGGCTCACCATGGACATTTCAAAGATGGCGTGAAATCGGGAGTTCTTGCGGCTGTGAACTAGCAGCGACTTGACCTCGTCTATTAACGCGGATATCTGCCTTGCCACTCCACTCGCCACCGCACTCGACCCCGCGTCATCGCCCTCCTTCCCGCCGCCATCTCCTCCCCCGTTCCCCCCAACCACTCCTCCGTCTCTACCCTCACTCCCCTCGCTCCCCTCGCTCTCCCCTCCTCCGCCTGTCGCCCCCCCTCTTCCATCCCCTCCCCGCCTTTCCACTTGGCGCGCTGCGCCACTGTCATCGTCCCCCTTCCCTGCTGTTGCTACATCACTCCCGCCTCTCCGACTGTCACCATCTGCTGCCGCTCTGCCTGCCGCTCCGCCTGCTGCTCCGCCCGCGCTGTCTTCCCTACCCCTTACACTTCCAGACACGCCTCTATCTTCCTCTCCCCTCAACCCGTCCCCCGACTCCCCCGACGCACCCTCCCCCGCGCCTTCCCCCGCGCCTTCCCTCGCGCATCTCCCCGCGCCTTCCCCCGACGCGCCTTCCCCTTGTTCCGCTTCCGAGTCGTTGGGGTGCTGCGGCGCGCTCTTAGCCAACTCCACGCACTCCCGCAGCTGCCGCACTATGTACTCCGCGCCGCCGCGCCGCGCCGACACGTCATAAAACACGCACAGAAGCAGCGGCTCGCGGCTCGCACCTGTAGTGAAGATTCCCTGAACCGGCGAGGCTGCCGGCTCTAATGCCTCCTGATGCAACGCCTCCTGACAGCGTTCGATCCAGTGCTCTCCGTGCGACACGTGTCCGTCGGTTAGGGTTTGACGGCTGGGATCTACGCTAGGGCTAGCGAGGGATATCGCGACTTCGAACCAGCGGCCGCCGTCGGCAGCTCCTAGGGTTTGTCGCCGGCTTGTCGCCTCGCTTTCGTCAACGCGTGGCGACAGTCGCACGTCCAATCGTTTGTCGCAGGGTCCTTGGCGCTTGGACCTGGTATAATCCACGAGGACCGCCTGTAGCGAGGACGATGCGGTGGGGAGGGATGCAAAGGCATTCAGCGGGAATGGCGAGAAAACAAATACGGCGATTCGTTGAGCGCAGGATGTTAAAAAACAAAAACAAGGAGAAACAATCAACAGACGCACGGACAGAATTTGACGTTCGCGGCAGAGAAACGCGCGCGGTTGGGACGCAACTGTCCTACAATTCTGACAGCTCGGAGACTAGTTAGTTCGGTTAATTCTGAGTTAGGCCGGGCGCAAGAAACCATCGACCCACCTCGAGCGCGTCGGCGTCCCCCGCGTGAACGAGCTCCCTGACGGGCCTCTTTAAAACGTCCTCGGGCTTTAAACCTAAGAAATGCACTAACGCGGAGCTGCACTGCGCCACGCGGAAGCCGCCATCCGCGGTAAGGAGCGCCGCGATAATCGCGTCGTCAAGCAGAGCGGCGACGAGCGGCGAGAAGTGGCTGAAGGGCGGCGCGTACATGTCTGACGTGGCGCTGTAGAGGCAGCAGAGGGAGTCACTGCACATCTTAATTGGACACACGCGCGCGCGCCGCTACGACCCACTATCGATAAGAAGAGAACACGAGGAGCATGAGGACGCTACTAGCGGGCGCATCAAGGGGAGTCGAGCTGCTAGCTGCTCTGCGTGCGTGTGCTGCTCTGCGTGCGTGTGCTCACTCTGAACCTCGGAAGATCGCGACAAGCTGACGCCCAGACAAGAGCAGCACATGCGACGACCGCGAGAAGCAGGCTCTACAACACCGCCTGTCGCAAGTCGCGCAACGTCGCGAAGGACGTAACGGGATTTACATGAACGGTCGCTGCATCGACGAAGCTGAGCGATAAATACGTGTCGGAATTATCTCTAGGTGCCTGGAACATAGAGTCTGGACGGAATCTAGGTTTCCGAACCGAAGCTCCTCGCAGCGAGTGTCAGTCAATAAATTAGTCCCGTAAGATCGGTAGAGTCACGGTATGCCAGGTCTCATGGAGGAAAAAGTTCGGCTCCATCTGGAAAAGTTCACCTCTGACGCCTCGCACTAACGCCTCGCACTGTACACCAATCTATTCGATTTAATTGCACATATAGAGTCGGATATCTTTTGTTCCAACCACCCCAAGTTTGTAATGTCGGAGGGAGGCCGAGTCCCGTCGAACGTGGGTTTCTCGAGAAACCCACGTTCGACGTGAGTTGTTTCGGGGTACTCTCCGAAACGTGGGTTTCTCGGGCAAATACAGTCACTCCGCAGATCAAACAATCGCTGCTGCCCCAAACGAAACCGACGATTTAAAATAATAATTGGGTGTAGCTGAAATTCAAAAGGTCGTCTGTACTCCTTCGAGCCCAACAGTCACCACCAGGTCCCACCAGCAGCGCGCCGCTGAAGCAGCGGAGGAGAGGAGAGGTGAGAGGGATTACAGCTGCCTTGCCCGCTTCCCCCCACCACGGCAGTCGTCCTTCTGGGTGAAGTCTATCCAGAGAGCCAACGACTCCTCCTGTCCGTTCCGGCGAGTTGGCAAGGCTGCAATTACTGTACAGAAGAGTAGGGAAGACTTCCCTACTTTTTGCCCCCGGTCTCCTCCATTTGTTGTTCCTTTTCATTGTTGTTTCGCTCACAAACATCGTTCAGCTCCGACGTCAGTTGTTTCGGGGTACTCTCTACACACACTAAGTGTATTTGAGGGTCTTGTTTTCAGGACTAAAAGAATAATTCGGCATTCACCTTGAGAGCACCCAAGAGAGTCAAATGCCACTGAACAAGCCGAGGTCCTAACCCAAGTCCCAACCCAAGCCTAGTTCCGCCAACCAGTTCCCGCAGCCAAATGAGGCTGCTGGTGTCAGTATTGTAGAGTCCAAACCAAACCGAACGGCGTGAGCCGAAGAGTCCAAGACGCAATTGACAGGAACGGAGGCAAGGCGGGCGGACTGTTTCCCCCCGCGATCAGCTCTAGCAACATTCACGACAAGTTTTGAAAAGACAAGGCTACACGAATTATGCGTCATTGTATGTTGAGTCTTAAGAGTCACCAAACTGGCATTGAAGTCTCAGTCATTCTCTAGCGTCATGCCGCTTCGGATACGAAATATCCTTTCACCGAAGCTGATCCTCACATGGTTTGTTCTAAATACAGTACAGTATAGATTTTCTGCATACAAGTCATATTCCCTGAGCACCCGGGGGGCGACGCGAGGGATTTCCCTTTTAACAAACATTGGTCGTACGATAGGGGCAACGTGGACTATGGAGTTTTCCCAGGAAATGGGGCGTTGTTTTGTGTATTGTGCATGGGCGGCTTGACTAGCGTATGCAGCAAATAAGTAAATATCGCCACAGCACAAGCCTTTTCACCTGTATATCAACTCCGCGTTTCAAGAGAATGTCAGATTCATGGCGCGTTCCTTGGCGCATTCCTATTGGCTGTGGGTGGACGGATTTTTTTTTGGCAATGCCGACGGATTCCGTTGGCGTTGCAGGCGTAATTCTACTGGACCGTCAGCGAGCTGGTCGTATCTAGCGCATCAGGTGGATTTTTCCTTCGATATTGGTTGGCGAGCCTGATACATCTGGATTTTTAGAGGCTCGCCGACCACTAGGTGTGGTTGCACTGAAAACACAAGAGCAAATTGATTGGACGGCCATGGATCAGCCGAATTGACTGACTAATTTACTATTCAGTTCAGACGGGTACACTTTGCGTACAAGGAGTGGCCCTTAATGATAAATTGCCTATGGGTTACTCTTGGGTATAAAAGGGGGTCGTCTACAAGGCATATAACGTGTACTCCGCACATCACATTGTACATGCCCAGAAGAACTAGCTCTGTTTCGTTTCTGTTCGATATGCTGGACGTCGTCATGTTAGGGATAGGAAATGCCGAATAATTTGTGTACGCCTACAGGTTGCACGTAAAGGGGGCAGGTGTTGGAGGCGCGTGTAGGGCTGTCGAGCCCGCGTGACCAATCAGCAATTTAGATCGATCCAGCTGGAAGCACCATATGACAGCGCAGAGAGGACCAGACGATTTTCTGACGTGGCGATAAGAGCGATCGCTGACAGATTAGATTTGAGATCTTTTTCTTTTGTCCTCTCTCGAACTGCGCATGCATGCACAGCGAACGGCAATACTGTACAAGAGAAGGCTAACATAAGGTTCATATTTCCTCTGTACACCCAAAACCTCGTTAACGTTCAATCACGAAACATCACAACCTCCCTAACCGTCACTGCCCAGATCGGCTTCTGATCACATTGCTCCGAAGCCATTTATGAGTACCCTGTACCCAATGCGACTTCTATTCGATAAATCAATGGATTAAATGGGTAATTATCTTCGATTTCGTAATGCCCTACAATTTCCACACAGGCAGTTTCAGTATTGAGCGAGAGGATGGAAACACGAGCCTATCAGTTTTACAGGGTCTAATCTGGTGGACGTATCTATTTCATACTGCTTTAAAGCCGTTGACCCAAAACGTACAAGATTAATAAAGATGAACAGGGCAAAAAATTGAGCTGCAGAAAGGACACGGGCGTGGAGGAGTGGTGTGAGGATGGCGAGAGTGGGCGAACACAGCACGCTACGAAAACCAATAAGAACGAGCATACAAATTATGACAGAACCAAAACGTTCGCAAAAAACGACTGGGGGAAAGGGAGGGTGGGGAAAAGGAAAGTGGGGACGCGCGCAAGGCGCAGGGGGGAGTGGGGGAAGAATACCCGGTCAGAGCGACGCACGGCACAGTGTGGAACGCTAGAAACAGTGGGAAGGAAGGGCACATGACTCTGGCTTGCGCATCCTGGTCGAGCTGCGCAACCCGCTTGGAATCGCCAAGCAACTCGACTTGCGCATATCAGGGCGTGGTACAACTCATATCACGATTATGTATTCAAACTGAAATTCGAACAGCTGATGCGGTTGTAGATGTTAAGACTGTTTTCAACACAATCAAGAAGGCTAGATAAGAAGAAAAAAAATGCGAGTTCAAGTCGCGTACCTCACTTGAAACGATTTGTACCGCGCCCTAATAAAACTAGCGTGTGCTGTGCATGGTGCTTTCGCTGCCTAGGGCGTAGTGGCGCTGGGCTACGTTTGCACTCCGAAAAGTCCCAAAATGTATGGGGGGAAGTTCAAGTTTCTTTTTCGCTCAAACGCCTGGTATGGCGGGGGCAGGGGCATAATCAGCTGGGGGTGGCGCAAGATTATAAACTGTTCCCCGTCGTTTTGTTGCGCAACTTTCGTTTTTGCTCTTACTCTGGGGAACTGGGTTACCAATCGGGGGGTTTCAAGATTATTAAACTTGAAAGAAATTTTCTGCAATTTGGGTCAACGGCTTTAACCCTCTCCAAAGCATTTAACCGCTCGACTCCCGAGTACTCCCCGAAAGCAGTTCTGGGTTCGGGGAATCCCGACAGCGGGCGGCCCCCTTCGGGGTCACGTAACATCACATATCCCTAAAAACAAATGCGAAACGGCCTGCCCGAAACGAGTGAGGCCAAGTGTACTACGCGGGCCTGGTGACGCTGCTGTAGCTCACGCAAGAGGAAGTACCGCAGCTGGATGTGCTTCGCTCTGCCCTCAAGTCTAGGCTCCTAACACAGGAGGATCATGGCTCTGTTGTCAGCGTACATAACCGGGGCAGAGCTAGGCCGCTCATCAAAGTCGGTGAGCAAGGTCAGCCAACGGAGCTCCTTTGCCGCCATGGCACCGGCGTAGATCTCAGCCCCACAGCTAGACTGGGCAAAAGATGACGAGCGAGTGGACCTCCACGAGATGGCACCTGCACCAAGGCTAAAACAGTAGCCCTGTGAGGACCTGAGAGTCTCGGCGTCGTCCGCCCAAGAAGCGTCTGTGTGCTCGGTAAGGACCACTGGTTTGCATCCTCCTAGCACTAGCCCCATTCCCCATGTACTTGCTAGATAACGCAAAACCCTCTTAGCTGTCGACCAGTGCTGTGGTCGGCGTCTGCCGGTGGCCACAAAGTGAGCCAGGATGCTGAGAGGGTATGCGAGATCTGGACGAGTGCAAGTCATCAGGAACATGAAGCAACCCACGAGATCTGCATAGGGACCACTAGGCTCTACAGCCTCCTCCGGAATAGGAGCAGAGAGTCTGTGGTCTACTGGCAGAGGGGTGGGCTGTGCGGAAGAGAATTGAAGGTCGAACCTCTGAAGGAACTGGCGCACCAAGTGTGACTGTGTGAGAGTGATGGTGCACGCTGCTCTGTCCCTGGAGATCTGCAAGCCAAGGTAGCGGCGCAGCTCTCCTAGGTCAGTGAAGGTGTGTCTCCTCAGCAGCTCAGGCTTCACGGAGGCCAGCACGTCTCTGTCTGCAGTAGCAAAGACCAGGTCGTCTACGTAGACAAGGATGTAGAACAGAGTCTGGCCGGAACGGACGAAGAGCGAGGGGTCTGTAGATGACGGGAAGAACTGTAGGTCAGCAAGTGTAGCACGCTGCGTGTCGTGCCACTCACGAGGCGCCTATCGTAATCCGTAGACGGGGCGCCGGAGGAGCCACTCGGTACCAGAGGGAAAGGTACTGGAGAAGCCCTGGGGGCGGCACAGGTAGACCTGCTCTTGTAGACTGCCGTGGAGAAAAGTTAAGGAGAACTCGAGGGAGTGCAGCTCGTAGTCACGCTGTGCTGCTACGTGTAGCAGAGCCCGAAGAGTAGTCATCTTCGGGGTCAGGGCGAAGGTCTGAAAGAAGTCCACCCCCTCACGCTGACTGAAGCCTCGAGCAACGTAGTGTGCCTTGAAGACAAGCACCTCTCTGGGGGGGCGCTTCACCTTGAAGAGCCATCGGCCATTGACTACGTTCACCCAAGGTGGGGGAACTGCGTCGACGAAGGTACCGGTGGATCTTCGAGATGCCATCTTCTGCTCCATGGCAGCTATCCACTGAGAGGCTCAGGGACCCGAGGTGGCCTCAGCGTAGGTGCGAGGGGTTGTGATGTCAAGGGCGTCTGGGTCATC